GCGGAACATTGAAATCACTTTTGGAACTAATACAAACGTTTAATCTGGTCTTTGGGCCATAATGTTTTTATCTTCAATTTCAAGAGCTTACAGACTCCAAGTTAAAAATCAATAATGATCCTCCACTGAAATCAGTTTTTTTCCTCTGAGAAAGAGTCTTTTCACTTTCAGGAGCATGGAGCCTGGAGCCAGATAACCACCACAGAAACAGGATTTCATCTTTAGGTTAAAAAAGTGATTGTTCTGCTTCCGGTTACCCTTCCTACCCTATTTTGACAGCCCCTACCCTATTTTTTTCGGGGCAAATGTAGGAAAAAACCTGAAACCACCAATTACATGTAATACCTATTGCCCTTGACTACAAGCAGACACTTCCATATGATTGTACACACAAAATAATTCCCCCCCCCAAAAAAAATAAATCCCTACCTACTGGTACCTACCCTAATTTAAAATGCCATGCTGTCGGAAGTAGAGCTATTTTTTTGCCTTATTTTCATTACTGTGGATATATACATCGATATTTCATAAAAAAATATAATCCTTGTTGTTCTAGAAAGCAACTTTGCAGTTGTACATTATTAAGAGTGTACCAATTCTCTTCAAGAATTTGTTTGCTCTCCAGATGAAATTTTAACTTTGCCTTATCTTAACAAAAAATGTGTTTGTTGCTATTTTGGCCTCTGTAACCCTCTGAAAAAAATGCTGTGAATTCCGGTCGCATCTGTGCACAAAGTACAGATCTGCTCTGTCAGTCTCTTATCCTGCATTATCAATTCTAATGGGGGGGGGGGGGGGGGAGGAACCAGCTGAAATCTGCGAGAACTGAATTAATGTCTGACCCCAAACAATTCAAAACTTGGAAAATAATTATTCTACTGCTACACATAACATGGGCCATCTTTTCATTCGATCTGTCTTATTAAAAAAAGAAGTGTTTTGCCAGAAAAGTGAAGTGTAATAATGTATAGCTAGAAAATTTGCGGGAAACACCCACTATTTTCCAGGATGAAAGGGGGGGGGGGGGAGGGAATCAAAAATAACATGCACAACACTTCTAAGCCTTTTTTAAGTATATTTACAAAACTGAGAATTTCTGTGAAAAAAAAAATTCCCTGGCCCGCCGGTTTTTGCAGAATACATCCCAGTATTTTCCAAGGGTTGGGATTCTCCAGGAAAAACTCCATTAAGAATCAATGGCAGGCTGGTACAAGAAACTAAACTGGGGATTTCCACTTAATTCATGGAGCGGAAAGTAGAACCAGGCATGAATCTCGCTTAAAGCCTTTTCACCCTAGAGCCTCTTAACCCGGGTTGAACTCAATCCTGGGTGAACCCAGTGCCGCCCGGGTTGAGTTTTCTATTTTTCAACCGTGCATTCACCCCCCTGTCGTTTCACACTTGTTTGGTGCAAAGTGCAAACCGAGCAAATTTTGCTCAGTTATTACCGTTTTGAAACCTGGCGAGGGCTTCAACCCGGTCCCAGGTTGAAAATTTCAACCCTGGTCTGGAGCAAGCTAGAGTTCAAGCCGTAGCGAAATCAATCTCAGGGTTGACGTGGGGTTGGCGCGGGGCTGAAGTGTGAAATGCCTCTTTTCAGCCCCGGGTCAGCCCCCAGATTTGTCTAATGTGAAAAGGCCTACATGTATGGGACCTCATCAAAAAAAAATAAGTCCAAAGAACATAATTTGTTTTATTAAGTAAATCTTTTCATACAAATTCTTTTCATTGTATAATCTGAAACCTACCGTAACTCCCTATATTAAATGAGTGAAACATATAAAAATACATGTAGAAGGATATTGAGGAAAAAAAGCAGACTTTCAAATGAATTTCCCTTGTGCAAGATTTGTAAAAAGACCTAAATCACCAAAAAATAAGATAGTCTGGTGACTTGTGACTCATTGGCTTGATGTTCACGGGTTAACAAACTTTCTCACTTTCCAGGATACAAAAATCTCAGATTCTGGGAATCCCTCCCAAATGAATTATTCATGAGATGGAAATGTGCTCTCATCCAATCAAGAGCTGCACATTTCCAGGATACAAAAATATGGGATTCGGGAATCCCACCTACAGTGAATTATTCATATGATGGAAATGTCTCTCATCCAATCAAGAGCTGCCAATTTTCAGGATACAAAAGTCCAGGATTTTGGGAATCTCTCTTACAATGAATTATTCATGAGAAATGTGCTCTCATCCAATCAAGGGCTGCAAATTTTCTGAAATTTGTTTTAAAGGATGTTCTTCTGAAATAAGGTATATCCTGGTTTCATGTTGCCTTAAATTCCTGGTTTATTTCGATAAATCTTGTTAAAAATGGTCTGACTGGAGTGGGGATAGTGTGAACGAGTCATGAATGATTAACACATTTTATTAAAAAGATTCTGTCTTAGGTCAAGTACAGTAGCCGTCACATAGTACATGACGGTCACTTGAGAAATTCACATCTACTGTAAAATGATGTACATTGGACGTTAACATTTCTGATAATTGCAAGCAGTATGAATTTTGATCTCAAAATTTACAAAACTGACAAGACGTATTTTCAATGCTAAATTAAAAACTATTTTATGCCCAGAAATACCAGAGCTATTGCGAACATATGTGTCAACAAAATATAAACTTCACAAATGGACAGGATCCTCCCATTTTTGGTCATATTTATTTTTAGCTGACGTGGCGCTACCTGAGGCTACGATTTGTCAGAATTTACAGCCAGCATATTTTGGTCTGAAGAACCAGACTAATTAACCTTCTGCAAACATTAGGCTGAATAAAAAAAAAACCATGTTTCTCGAAGGAGGAAGAGGGGCTTTTTAAAAAAATTTCAAGATGGTCGCCATTTTAAAATTTCCTGCACTTGTTGGTGTTTCCACTGTTCAAAGACACTTCTAAAATGAAAGACAAGTTGGACAAGAGAACTGAACATATTTACAGTGTCATTTAGAGTTGTATTGGTCACATATTTTGCAAGTATTTATTTTCCGATGAATTTGTGGACTTTTTCATGTTTTTTTAATGCATTTTTCACAAACAAAAATAATAAAAAATCAAGGTGACCTCCAAAAAGGAAGCAGGCGGGGACGAGAATCATGTTGTTGTTTTTTAGCTTGCCTTAAATACATGTATGTGTACATTTCCTTTTTTTAAATAAATATTAATCATGATATTACCAGAAATTTTTAATATTTCATCATTTTCACTGCAGCTCCAGTGATCCATGTGTTCCTTCCTCCATGAGTGATCAAGGCCAACAAACTTTCATCATACTGTATCCTGCACATGCACAAACCACAACAGCCATGAATATGCATCACTTTCACCCTGGTCAACAAACTTTCCCAGACACAGCCTAGTCACACTGCCCTAGCAGGGGTTGACAAACTTTTCCCCATGCCTTGCTGCAGTAGCCTCATCAACCAATCACAGTGCATCAAGGTCTTGCATATTCATGTTGGCCCACTCTCACCAACAGTTCAACAAACTTTCACTACAAGAAACCACAATGCATGCAATGCATGCAGTATCTGCATGTGACATGTTCATATGTACAGTGCATGTACATGTACAATGTACATGTACATGTACATGTACATGTACAGTACAGGTACATGCACATGTACACTGTATTCTGTACATGAATACCTACCTACAGTACATTGGGAGTTCAACAAACTTTCACATGTAATATGAGTGTTAATGAGGAAGGAAAGACAAAGGCTTGGGGAGAAAAACCCTGATGTTATTGTAATTCGGTATGTTTCACTTTGAGCGCCAGGTTGGAAGGAAAATTCAAAAAAAAAATCTTGCTCACAAAACAATGGTGTATTTTGAATTGAATGCAGGTTTGAAAACTGAATTGGCCAACAGCTTTTATCAAATATAGATTTTCACAAGATATGGTCAATTTTTTTTTTTTTTTAGAATTTATTTAGGCAACAAAAATAAATTGTAATGCAATAATGTCTTTAGTGTATTTTTAGTGATATTACTTGTAACACAGTCAAATTAATCAAATATCAATTCACAGAAAAAAATCTTTAAAAAGTCAAAACTAAAGAAAAAAGCATTTGAAATTGAAATTTTAATCACAAAAAGCATTATTGTCTTCTTTGTGTAGCTGGAAAAATATTGGGAGGCTTGCAAAATATTTCCAGCATCACACAAAGAAGACAATTTAATAATGGAACAAGTATTACTTCAGTATGTGATTAACTCATGAATAATTCAAAAGACAGGGGCCAACAAACTTTCTCCATTTCAATGTGTACACCATGCATGCAGGCCTTAAACAAAGTCAGGAGATATTTATTACACGTAATCCCTTAAACCAATCAGTAGACAGTTTCCAACATATGCCAATATGAATATTCAACAGCAAATTCCTACAACCAATCCCTTTGTCTGTTATGTCTTAGCATGAATATATGAATTGCATAATCACTTCCTCTGTACACTCTCCAGGTCAACAAACTTTGGCACACAGTAGTAGTAAATATCACATATGTTGAGGGATATGAATTGTTGGCTGTGTTCCATCAGGCATCAATGAAATAAATATGAATTGATCCAATGAATTAAAAGCACAGCCTTTCTTTAAATACCTTTTCAATTTCAAACAAAAAGAAAACATGTTTAAAAGACAAACAAATGGACACAATTAAGGAAATCTGAGATTATAGCTTCATGTTGGAGGAAACAAAGAAATTTGACTGATACTATAGGCCTTTTTGTTCAAATTTCAAATCTGTATTTGATAACTGGTTATTATCTTTGTAGTACCAAACGATGGAGAACAATTATAACTTCTTTAAATTCATCATCATTTACTCCGTTCTGTTGCACAGATTTTGCAACATCAAATAATTCTCACAAAAGTAAATGTCCAACGATAACACCAAAGAAATAAGAAAAGTGTTACACCATTTCAAACTGCTTTCTGTCGGTGCTTTCCGAATTTTTAAACTGAAAATGAAAAGAAACAACTTACTTACCTATGCAATCCTTTTGTTTCGATTGCAAAAGCTGCCAAGAAAATTGACGAAATTTTGTTCGTTAACGTCAGCAAAACAGCCTGCAATCCACGGCAAACTGTCTATTCTCATTCACACTGATTCTTCAAGCCTTGAAAAGAAAGAAATTTAAAAAGAACTTGAATTTCACTTTATTTTTCTGTAGAGAAAACAAATCTGGTTGAGTGCGTGTTGGCATCTGGCATTTGAATGGCATTTTTGCTGTAGCTCCCCCTTATAACATTACGGTAGTGTACCGTATATGAATGGCCTCTACCTACGCGGAACTGGTCAACAAACTTTTCGTTTTATTCATTAAAGCCTGAATAAAGGCTACTCCTCGGCTAGACATGTGCGGTTGCTATTGGTTGTTCCCACTAATGCATTAATTTACATGCAGTACGTACACGCACATAATAGGTGAGTGACGTAAATAAGTCTGATGTGTTTTCATACTGTCGTATTAAATTAGTTTTGAGGGATGAAATCAGAATTTTGATTTTAATTTTGATGCCTAGAAAATTGGCTGTAAATACAGTAAAAAAAGCCATATTTTAGTCTGAGAAATTGTATGAACATAATAATATGAAGCGTTCTAGCCGAATGAGACAGAACTGGGCAGAGGATGAAACGAGGGTTTGCAGGTATTAGGAAAGAGAATACAGTTCTCTTTACAATTCTGTTTGTTGCACTACAATCGGACATTCCGTTGACAAGTTATGGCTGCTTTATTAAACTTACATTTATCAACATGTTAAAAAAAAAAAAACAATACTGACAAAATGGTCTTTCAAGTTTCGAGTTTTGAAGTCACAAAAAGAAAGATGCAATTGGTTTTCCTTAAAAACACTTTTATTCCACGATATTTATACTGTTTCTGTAAACTATGTGTAGTCGACATATCAAAGATTACAAATATTACTAAATCTGAAAATCGAAAAAAAAAAAATTCACCCCATTCGTTTTTTCCCTTCATTTGTCTCCATCAGGGCCTGTGCCCAGTTCTGTCCAAGTTTACCAAAACACCCTACATATAAGTTAAATAAAAACAATGCTATATATTTATGACACAAACAATTCTTACTAACAGGGAAAAAAAAGATTTTAATTTTTCATATTAAAAAAGCCTCAATATCCAAAATGGATATGACGGCTTTTTGTGATGTGCTTGTCACTGTATTTGGACGAGCAACACGAACTGCTGTTTGTAAATTGAGACAAATGTATACAATGTAACAGAATACCAGCATAATCATCTGCAACTGTTTTTAATGAAAACAATTACTTGGGTACCAGTATATTATTATATTTGCATCCAACTGTTTCAAGGTAAATGAGGTGCAGAAAAGTACCCGCTGAAACTTAATCAACCAAATATTAATTTATAATTTATTGTTTTGTGTGTTGTATTAACCTGTTGAGGGTCAACTCAAGGTGGAATGTTGAGAGAGAATAAGCCAAAATCTGTAACTGTGGTAACAATGTTAATATTCCGTCACATTTCAAAAAGAAAGAGTGAAACTTGACCTATTGAATTTTCAAATAGTAAATTTCAAAAGTAATGTTTTTGTTATAAAATTATTTACGGATTGTTTCTGCAGCCTTCTGCTTATTTGATGAACATCTGATTTATCAATTCGAATCAGAGGTAGGCCTATATATGTAAACATTTTCAAAACAATCCACGAAGACAAAAGACTTTAAATGTTTTCAACAAAGATACTGGGTCTATGCTATCATACATTTCTGATATAGGATCAACTCATTTACATATAGCGGTCCAAAGAAAATGTGGGCAAGCTATCAGAATTCTGGGTTATCTGATTGTCTTCTGGATTAACTTGATAATTTGCAGAGCTTAAACTAAATAACAAGACCAAGAAAGACAAAAATTTTTTTGGCAATTCTAGTAAAGCTCGTCCAAGAGCACAAAAGTCTATTCCAGTGATTCAGAATGGGACAAATTTACGGGGTACTCCTATACAATAGCACTGCCCAGCCTTCCTCACCAGTCAAAAGCCATAAGACACAGTCAGTCAGTGAGGACTTAGTATAGGACTAGGCTGGCCCTCTGGTTAGGTTAGGTTAATATCATTCCAGAAAGTGCGCGTAAAAGTTAGACCTATCCTACACGGTGTTTCATATCATCTACAATGGGAGTGTTCATGAATGTGTTATAATAACCTGTTTTAAAATATGATGTAAAATTAAATCATAGAAGTATACTTTCGAACTGCTCAGTGTGACTTTTCTTTCTTAAAATTGTGCATATCAGCTGCATTCCAAAACTTGGCATAAAAAAACCCAGACTGACCTTTGGGAGATTTGGACAATGGGATCGAAACACAATGGAGTTCAACCGAGCTGCATATTTCATTTCAACAACGCACTCATTGTGCCAATCTAAACAAACATTGTGCCTGTACGTGCCGATTGCTCTCTGTTACAGTCAAAATTGTTCAAGAACACGTGCTGATTTACGACATTTGCCCCTCTCTGAATGACATTCCGGGTAAAGTTTACTCATGTTTATTTTCTTGACAAGGGATCAAGTGTTGCAATTCTGAAACATAAACCAATTCTATAGTTCAACATGGGGTAAATAGCAAAATAATGGTGAACATATTGACATATACATGTAATACAGGCCACTTCAAACCATTCCGAATAACTTTTTGTTGAAACTGAATTATTTAAAAATCCTTTTTTGAACACTTAAAGGAACATTTTCTGCAGAACTGAGCTGCACTGTAGTGTACAGCACTCATGCAACTTGTGAGTCAAACTTATCAGGAACTCCAAAGAACAACAACAGGGGAGAAACCTGTATGCAACATGAACTCTGTAGGGCAATTCCACGATTACTCACGTTACATTTTTGATGTACTGTTGAGTTTCCTTGAGCTGTAATTACCTTACTGAAAAGGTTTAAAAACTGTTATCCCCATGGTAGATAGAGTAGACCTAGACCTACCTAAGCACCAAAGATGACATCCAGAAAAATTTATTATGTATGATAAACAAGACGCACAAAAGCGATTACTCACGTTACATTTTCGTAACATTTTCGTTACATTTTCGTAACGTGCCTGATTCCATGGGTTTTCCCTAGAATATCATTCTGGGGTTTTCCTCCCACCTCTAGAACTGAAAATTTCTTCTATATCTTCCAAAAAGGGACCCCACTGGAAGTAAGTGGAAAGACTTTCGTTGGCTTTCCCAGCCAATTGGCGAATAATCACAAACAAACAAACAAACACACCAACAAATAAACAAACAAACACCCCAACTAACAAACAAACAAACAAGTTCTGCTGTATTTATCATCAAAAAGATTCACTCTGCCAACAAGTACCAAATCAAAGATTTCACAATGCAGAGTAACACTATAAAACTGCCTCCAAAAAGGAAACTACTTTTTCACTACATTAATCATTTAATATCACATCACTTACCACTGTATGTACATATTTCCAAGATCACAAATTAAAGCTCTGCGCTTTTTTTGCAAAATAAAAACATTTCAAATGAACAACTGGATAAAAATGAGCCATCAGACTTCCATACCATATCCCGGTACTGGACCCGAGTGTGCAAACAAGTGTTGTAGACCCTATCGTGAGCCCAGACTATTGAAATAACGGTGACCACAAAACTCGCGATAAGCAAAACTGATAAACCTCTAGTCACTGTCCACAAGGATTGCGACATACATTGGCCGTCTTACCAACAAGATGCTGTCAACAGTTAATGGTCAAATGCTAAAGAGGTTGTGACCATTGAACAGAAAATCTGAGCAATTAAGCACCAAGCATTGACACAGTCATCCTAAATCACATCATAGGCTATATCAACCAGTCTCAAGTCAGGTTACAAACTGTTTCAACGAACTGCGAAAACAGCATTCTTGTGCATTCCCTCCATTTTACTTTTCACCTGAGTTTGTGATGTAGGGCCTATAACTTTTGACTGATGACTTGACGTGTGTCTGACTGGTGACTTGACATGGCTTTGACAATGGTTACTCAAGTTGTGGTTGACTTGTGATTTGACTTGCGATTGACCCGTGATTGACATGTGATTTACTTGTGACTTGTGATTGACTTGAGTTGTGATTGACTTGTGATTTGACTTGCGATTGACCTGTGATTGACATGTGATTTACTTGTGACTTGTGATTGACTTGAGTTGTGATTGACTTGTGATTTGACTTGCGATTGACCTGTGCTTGACATGTGATTTACTTGTGACTTGTGATTGACTTGAGTTGTGATTGACTTGTGATTTGACTTGCGATTGACTTGTGATTGACTTGTGATCGGCTTGTGATTGACTTGTGACTTGACCTGTGCCTGACTTGTTGTGGCAGACTTGTGACTGACTTGTGACTGATTTGTGATTTGACTTGTGACCTGACTTACGATAGAATCCAAAGATGAGGTAAGGGAAATTTGTCTGATTTGCACAAGAATTTACTCTTTTAGTAATCCCAGACGAAGTTTGCCAATATTTTAAGCTAACAGTAACACTATAACACAGACATCAACTGAGCTTCACAATTAGCATCTATTCAAAATGGTCCTGCGAACAACCAACCTTGGACGGTAAGTGCACTTTGAACCACATCAACCCTATTAAAGTCTTCCGCATCTTTAAAACTCCAGAAGATTTTGCAGGATTTTGAAGGACTGAGGAAGGTAGAGCTCAGCTATGAGGTTTGGATTCCCAACGAAAAAGCACAAAGTTACATTGGTTTCCTGCAGAGTGGTGGATTTTGGAAGATTCAGGAAGACTCCAAGAAAACAACAACTTGGAAATGAAATTTTCAGCAAAACATACATTTTCCCAGAAATCATTAATTAATCAAGTTTCTGGCAACATTGGTGCAGGTGTCATGTAATAATACGATGTAATCATCAAAATCATGTTTGTGGTCAGAAAGGCAAACAAGACCTGGATAGCCGCATTAGCCGCAAAGTTTGCCAACCCATTGTTAGCTGAAGACCACTTGATATCAGTGGACAATGGACCCGAAAGATATCGCTGACAATTGTACCAATTCTTGGGCAAATATTGACCGAAAAATTTAACCCTTGGATTATTACTCAATATCTTCTGAACAGGAACATTGAAGGTGGCACTGGTGAACATGTCAAGTCTAACGATCTGCTTTCAAGTATTAATTTAAGGAAAAATTAGACTACACTTGAATTCAATGAAGCAACAATTTTTAATTTCAAAACAAAACTGAGTCATTCAATTACAAAAAAAAACCCACAAAGTATTGGTACCAATCTATTATGCTTGTCCATTGTTTTGACTATTTGCAATTTGTGCAAAAGTCGTCGTTGGGGGCAGCAAACAAAACATAACTCCCAAACAGGACTCCCTATGCAGCATAGTATAAACAAGTCCTGTTTATTACGTCACAATTTACTATGTTTTGTTTGCTGCCCCCAACGACGACTTTTACACAAATTGCACGTTCGGGTCGAAACAGGACCTGAAAAACAGCTCTCAAAAGTACCTTTTGTACTCATTTCATGACAGAAACAATAGTCGTTTTTGTTTCATCACACCTTAGGCTACATATACCCGAAAAATGACGAAAATGTCTTCGAGCATTCCACAACCTCTTTAATGTAAAAATATGGTACAATGCTTAGGATTTTGTAAAAAGAAAAGTCCAAACACTCTAAATGAATTCTGTACAATTCATCAGCCCTTGTTCTATGTGAGCCATGGTTGTTTGAAAAACCAAGACTACCACATCTTGGCTACATGTATCTTAACACGTTGTACAATTGTTGTTTTGTACAACTGTTGACAATCTAGATGCAACATTGAGCTTTTGTTTACAATGTATGTCACTCAACTATAAAAATACATCAATCAGCCATGACATCATAAACATCAGTATTTGACTATTTCTAGCTCCAGTTTGTATGGTGAACACCAACTTTTTACAATACACTGTGCAACATGCATCAGGCAATTAACAAACATTGGAGCAGATGTTGCAATATCTGCAAACTTTTTTTTTGTAGGATTCTACACTTGAACTCTACCCAGGGGCAATTCCTGTGGGGTTTTCTGGGCCACAAACCTGGTAACCTTTGGATACAATTTATGAACTTCAGCCTTTATACACTTGGATAAATGTCCATTTGATTTGTGACAAACGGGACCCACAACTTTGCCTTTACCGTGCCTAGCTGATATTTTTTAGATTTTTTTTTCAGGTTTCATATAAAGGTCCTTTATTCCTATTCCCACAGGAACATTCTACAATTTTTTTTACTGGAAAGTTCTTGGCTATAATCAGAGACAACGATCGACTTGGATAGGACAATATAGGCCTACTTTTTTCTTGGCAGTGGAGAGGTTAAACAAAGTTTGTCAACAGAAGAGTTTTATATTCTGCCCTAGAATTTGAAAGTGTTCTCCTTCTTTGCTGCTGCTGAAAAAAAGGTAACTTCCACAAAACAAACTTCAAAGTCTCTACAATGAACTAGTTTTGCCCATTTTCTTGGCAGTCTGTAATTCAGCTATATGAAATATGAATATTTATATCACGTACTTCTTTAGATGAAATAATCCGGATGAGATTTGTTTTTTATTCCTTTATTTTTCTTAAGGCCTTGTGTTTCATGCGTGAATTTTAATTTCAAGATCCGTTATCGAAACTTGAAATTCCAAGTTTTGGGGGACAGGATTTCGAAATGCATATGGCAGATCAGTACTTTTGTTGCAACATCGCAGCCAACCAGTAACTGGTACCTGCGCCAGTCGGTAACCCAAGGTCAAGGACTTCCTGTTTCCTTGGTTCCTGTATAGCAGGTGGTTAACTGATTGAGCCATACCTAGTAATAACCAGATCATATCACCTGGTTTTATACATTGAAAAATAATGTACTTACATTGTAAGCCCTAGCATTCCCGCAATAAATAATTTGTTGATTTTTGTTGTTGTTCTTTGTTGTTGTTGTTTTTTGCTCTGAACTGTGAAAGGGATACTTATGGACCATTTAACATGTTGGTCCGAACAAGATTTTCACTAAAAACTGAATGGAAGTGGCAGCTCAAAACTTACTGTGCAACTTTTTGCCCAAGCAATTTTGTGTCGCGTTTCATCCCCTGTGCAATTTTGCAAAGATATTAAGTCACACTGTAAAGCATGCCTCCACAGATCTGGTTCAACATAGCTACAGCTCAGAAAAAAGATCAATGAACTTATCTGTGGGCCTATTAAATAGGACATAAATAGGGCCTACCAATAGACAAGTTACTCTTTTTGTTACCATTATTGAATTCCCATAAGTATAGGCCCCCAGTGTCATACAGTTCACTGTCTTTGGGCAAGCGGACAACTATGTAGCGATCACCAAAAGGAACCTTTTGTAGGCAGACAAAGATCAATACTTTCTTTCTCCGTAGCTGGGAAAGAAATGTAGCCGCCACGTTATGCAATAGAAAGAATACAGCATCCTGAGTCCTGACCACCACTTGTTATTTTTTTCTTAAGTACACATAATCTTTTTATGTGTTGAAAAAGCAAAACTTTTTTTTGAACTGGGAGACATTCCCAGTTTTAGTTATTAGAAATACTTAGTATATTCCAAGACTTAATTAGTACACATTCAACAATTGAAAGTATTTTGTTAGACTACTGAATTCTTCCATAGGCCCTGTATTATATATGCAATTGTTTTCATGTCGTAAGACGTCAACGAATTTGTGTTGTATCGAAGGGAAAACACTTTTACTAAGAAGTGGGGAGATTTAATTTTCAATTTGTTCCTTTATGATTTTTTTTAATTGATGATTTTAGGCCTTTTCGGCAATTGGCCGGGATAACCAACGAAATCGTTTGAATTGTTTCTGGTGGGTTCAATTGGAATGGTAGAAGACGTTGACGTAAGTAATTAATTCCATAATGAACTGCACATCAGGTACCCCTGGTATTTAATTTGGGTGTTTTTTTTAGACCTATACAACAATTATAATATAAACCTGCTGGCTGTACTGTGCAACATGCAGTTGCAAGACTGATTTTTATTTAAAATCATAATTTTAATTTGTAAAAAATTCGAAGCTGTATAGGCCTAGTTCTAGAAGAAGTAGAAGTAAACTGAAGTCATCTGCAACACTTTCTCCATGAATCCCTTTTTATTATAAAAATCCTTATTACACTACATGTCTAATATATATTGCACAACCATGGCACAATCGCCAATCGGGTCAAGAAAATACCGAAATTCGACCTCAACAATAAACAAGGACACGATTTCCAAAGGAACAATTGAATCACCATATTTTCTTTTTTAAAACAAATTTCAAGGGTTAAAACTTCCCCCCAAAACTTTGAAGTTATGTCAGGTATTCAGGATATTCACCATAACAACACATAAATTAGTGTATCTCCGACAAAATCTACGAAATCATAAGGACTTACCTAAGTTTTCCGGCAATCGGTCCTTTATTTCGGAAACCGCCAAGTTTTCTGTTGTTTACAAAAATTACCACACACAGTGCGTATTATGGCCTATGGAGCTCAGCTGCAGCTGGATCCATTGTAATATTACACGTGTGCAGCTTGGCAAGGAAATGCACAGTAAGCAATGGGAAAAGTTTGTTGACCGCTATCACAGCTGACTGTGCGCCGGCCGGCGATCAAAAATAGGCCTATTTGCATATAAACGGTCGAAACGTGTTCCGATTGGATAATAACTGCGACGTCATTCCAGGGTCTATGTAACGGGGTTGCTGATTCGTCACTTCTCAGCGCGACCCGTATAATAGGGTCGACAAACTTTTTGCCCGTAATGCATGATGCCGCGGTACGGTTCAAGGAAACAGAACTACGCGCGAAGCCGGAGATCAACATCCGTACACATTGTCCGTGTAATAGAATTAGACTTGCTCAGTCTGTCCCTGTCCGACTGGGTTTTCGGGGGGGGGGGATACTTTTTTCTCTTTTGGACGATGCGAACAAGGGCGGATCCAGGGGGGGGCCAAAGGGGGCCATGGCCCCCCCCAAAACGAAATCAATTTTTTTTTTTTTTATGTGACATCGCAATAACGGCAGGCAATGAGTACACCACCATCTTTTCCTCAAAAAAAAAACATTGGTTAAAGTGGTCAGAAATTGCCTCAGATCGCACCACAGAGCATCTAGAATCCAAAAAATTTTCGGGGCCCTTAAGCGGGCCCCGAACCCCACGCCGTAATTTTTTTGACCCACTTTTTGACATCGCAATAAAGGCAGGCAATGAGTACACCACCATCTTTTCCTCAAAAAAAACATTGGTTAAAGTGGTCAGAAATCGCCTCAGATCACACCACAGAGCATCTAGAATCCAAAAATTTTTCGGGGCCCTTAAGCGGGCCCCGAACCCCACGCCGTAATTTTTTGGACCCACTTTTTTGGGGGAACCAAATCTTTTTTTGGCCCCCCCCAAAATTGTGTTCTGGATCCGCCCTTGGATGCGAACCTCAGAAAAAGGGGTTTTATTCTTGGTTGATTCTGCTCTTCAGAAGTTCAGACAATTACCAACGCACAAAACAAAAACGGCTGCAAATCCAAAATTGAGTGAAAAGTCATTATTCAGTAATTAAAAACATGAGCCATTTTTTTTTGTTCGATGCGTCATTCACTATGGTACTTCAAACAATTTGTTCGGGCCGAAAGTCGAAAATTAGCACGAATCAAATCCAACACCAATCTGAAAAAGATGGAAATACGATTCGATAATATTTTTTTGAAGAACTAATTCCAGGTCCAGGTTTGGCTCAAATAAAAAAGGAGGGGGGGGGGGTTGGGTTACAGGCATGTGCAATTATGCATTGTTTTTCTTTTTCTGCGGCACAAGGGGTGGGATGGGGGTAAACCCTCTACCCACCCCTACCCATCAATGAAAATAATTTAGTCCGGCATTCAAAGAAGAAAAAGAATTGCGTACTCGTGAATTTATTACAAAATTGAACACTGGGGGCGCTGTTTACAATTTGTAGACATGGACAATGTAGCATATTTTTTTTATTTTCAGAAGCATGGCTTTATAACGGTCAATTTAGTTTTTAAGTTTGCAAAACAAATATTTTAGACAAGGATATTCAAATGTTTCTTTTTTTTTAAGAATTAACAGCTGTCTTGTTTTATTCAAAAACTGTGAAAATAAGGCTTTCAACGATTTTGCTTAAAGGGAATGTACAACATTTGCTTTTGCTGCAATTTTCAGAAATACTGGATTCGGAGGATTAGTATGTTATAGCAAATATTGTTCAACTGACTTGTTTCACCTTTCGGGCTTGTAGATGCTGGGAAAAAAACCCAAGAAAATCAATCATGTTCTTGTCGACTGGTTCCCTGACCCCACTTAACATGAAACCATTTTATAGACTTTGAGGAATTGCAGAGAATCAGCCTAGCTGGTTTTGTACCCCTTCACTGGTGTGTAATCAATTGCAAAGAAAATGCGGAATACCTAATATAAAAAAACTAGGAGCAGTTTTAAAAAAAAGACAGTTTTCTGCAACGCTGCTCGGCAGACCAGCGTTGGAAAAATACAATTTTTCTCAGCACACCAGGAGGATGCTTTAAACTGTCACTCCCTAACAATCCAGTAAGGTATTTCGTAATAATTTGATCATACTCCCTTTAAAGGGAATATACAACATAACTGCTCTCTTCAAAAACCAAAACTACCAAATTATTATGATGAAATACCTTACGGGACTGTTATGTGAATGACAGTCTAAAGTATCCTGTAAAATCATGGCACCTGGTGTGCTGTCATTTTCAAGAAAAGTGGTATTTTTGTATCAATTTCCAACACTGGTCTGTCGACCAGCGTTGGGAATAAACTGGCTTTTTTTTCTTCAAATACTGCCCCCAATTTACACATTTAGTTGGTCCGCATTTTGTTTGCAATCAATTACACACCTATGAATGGGTACAAGCCAGCTGGACTGTTTCCCTGACTTTACAATTCCCTGACATCTATAAATTGTTCCGTTTCATCTTCAGTAGGGGGTCAGGGAACCAGACCACAGGAACATGATTGTTTTTTGGTGGTTTTTCCAGCATCTACAAACACAAAACTTCAAACAAGCAAGTGTAACAATATTTGCTATAAAATAGTAACCCCCCAAATCCAAAATTACAGCAAAAACAAATGTTGTGTATTCCCTTTTACTCGCAGATTCAATTTTCTGAAAATCATGAAATCATGTCATGAAATCATGTACATTGCTTAAAATTTCTAAATAAGGAAACTATTTTCTACCCCAATAATATTACAGCCCTCGCTAACATTCCCCGGTTTCCATAAACAAAGTAAATACCCGAGCCAATGCAGGGAACCAGTTGTATGGCGCCCTCAACAGGTCAGGTAAAGAGAGCATGGAAGATTGACAGAAAAAGTGTTCCTAAATTAAAGATATAAATAGTACATAAGGCGTATAATTCTCTGGTACAATATAGCTCCTTTGTAGTTTATCCATGTAATGGAATTGCACAGGAATGTATGAGGTATGGAGTTAATAATGCATGATATTCAAATTTCCAGTCTGTTTTGTACAAAAACCATGTACATGTACAACACTCCATTTCCCTCTTCTACTTTTAAATAGCAAATATTATTTTTTTCATATAATTTTAAATTTGGTTACAAATTTAGAAACGTGTCTCTATTTTCTAAAACAGTTACTTTCCATATATTATAAACTTAACAATAATTTTCTAATAACTACATACATGTAACACTGATATACCCAACAGACAAATAATTACACATCAGATATTTTAATGAGGGTTTTTGAAATCCTGACTTTGTCTAGGTCTCAGGCTTCAACTTGAGCAGATTTTGGCCCTCGCCTGGTTAAACCAGTTTTCAAGAAATGCAGACGTTGACTCGTTATTTGTGTTCATTTCAGAGCCAGTAAAATATATTAACCTTATGATATGAAAAAGCCAAGGTTACAAAAATATAATAATATTAAAGATAATAGCAAGGACAATCCTACTTGAACTTGTAGTCTTGCTCCAAGACTGAATCTTGGTTTTATTCGCCTAATATAGCTGGTCCATATTCATGATGAATCAAAATCTAGTATTGGGAATATTGGCAGCGCTAACCCGAAAATTCCGAGCATGCCTCATATGCGCTGTATTCAAGCTAATGCACGCACATGAGGTGTACTCTGAATTTTCTGGGTAGCATTGCCAAAATTCCCGAGACTGGATTTGATTCATCTTGTTAATAACGCCCTCTGTCGCTACGGCAGCTATACTGTGCTTATCAGGGACCGACAAGCAACCCCCCCCCCCCCAACTGCCATGGCTTGCAGGCTATGTTGCCTAGTTTGGATTTATGAAGGGAAATAAAAGTCCAAAGTTAGTTTGGACCAAGACTAACAAAGTTGCGACACTGCTGTGCAAAAATAATAAGAAAGATATCCTAACATCTACATTAGGTTTTTATTTTACTTTAATGTTTTGCGTTAAGCGACCAGTTGTACGTGAGGTAGGAGGTTTTGAAGTTCCCGCTTGCCAACAGTTTTCCCAAGGCCGTCTTCTTTTGGCTAAATGCCAAGTGGTCATGAACCCAGTGTACAACCTGAAGATAGTGGAAACAAAGATTGGATATTCAGGAAACAAGTGTTGCGGGCATTTTTTTAAAAAGAATTTCTGGTAAAATCACAGATTCTGCAAAACTTACAATGGCACACAAAAACGGCACCGCTATATTCCAGCTTAAATTCTCCAAACGGTAACTTATCACTTACTGTCCGAGATCTTACAAACTCTACCAGGAGGTTTTGAAGGATTTTGCAGGATTGAGAACGGAACAAACAAACCACTGTACGATAAATGGGGCTTAATGCCCCTTGACAATTAAAGTACCAACAATGTGCCTTTTCCTCAGCATTGGAGAATATTGAAAGATCTTGGAGGATTTAGTTTCCTGGCAAAAAAAAATGGAGTTCAGGTTACTGACCTTTGACAAAGTTACAACCACCATTTAAGTGATTCTTGTCAAAAGAAAAACAAGGACCATTCCCATTTATAAAACAACCAGACTAATTCATAAGTGACAGTCACTCAGCAAGATAGGTAACCAGACTAATTCACAAGTGACAGTCACTCAGTGAGATAGGTAACCAGACTAATTCACACAAGTAACAGTCACTCAGCGAGACAGGTTACCAGACTAATTCACAAGTGACAGTCAGTCAGGTAACCAGACCAATTCACAAGTGACAGTCACTCAACGAGAAAGGTTACCAGTCTAATTCACAAGTGATAGTCAGTCAGTGAGAAAGGTTACCAGTCTAATTCACAAGTGATATTCAGTCAGTGAGATAGGTTACCAGTCTAATCCAAAAGTGACAGTCAATGAGTGAGATAGGTAACCAGTTTAATTCACAGGTGAGTAAGGCAGCGAGACAGGTAACCAGTCTAATTCACAAGCGACAATCAATAAGTGAGATAGGTAACCAGTTTAAATCACAAGTGACAGTCACTCAATGAGAGAGGTTACCAGTCTAATTCACAAGTGACAGTCACTCAACGAGATAGGTAACAAGTCCATGTCATGATCACTTGGCTATGGCCAGAAATAACACGCACACCTATGTATGGAAGCCACTGGCTAGCGGCTGCAACCACTTTCCATAGACTTGTGATTCAGACACAGCCCTAGTCTACTTCGGGGAGTCAGTCAGTCAGTCAGTCAGGTAAATGGACTATACGCTGGCTCTCTGGGTCCAACAAATATAATTACCTTAGCATCAGTTCCTCCGAAGTCGACCTTGTACCACTGTAGAATTTTGCTGAGTCGGATTTCATTCTTGTCAGGCAGGACCATGCAGCCGTCGGAGCTTTCCAGGAAGGCCTGGGCCGCTAGCTTCAACTCGTCATAGATACCCTGACAAGATAGATGACAATATGGACTCAATATGAACCCCTCAATAGTTACAAAGGGAGTGTTGGGGGAAACCACTGGAGGGGACATTTAAACACACTGCCAACTGTAACTGATGCTCAAACGAAGATGCCACGGGATTGTGCACATCAGAATAAGATCAGTTGCGCCATCGGGCGAGGATAATCACTCGCACGCTGTGTGACCCCTCCCATTGGGGCTTACAAAAGTGGTCACAAACTGACTGCCCTGAGTCCATTCTACGACACGTACAACTTGGTTTGAGTAGTGAAATAACAGGGCTATGCATAGAGCAGGAAGTATCTGCGTAGCCAAAAAACTGGTTACATACAAAAATATCATGTTTTGTTTACTGCTTCAGACCGGTTCCCATGTGATTTGCTGGTCTGTCTGCACCCGGTTTTACGAAGCGCAGTGACACATCACAACTTGAAGTGTATAACACACAAAAATTACAACGCGTGGTATGATCCATTTCACAAAACTAACTATGAGTTGAACGCGTCGTAACTTCCTTGACAACGGCTTAAAACACATCGCAAGTTACATGTCCAGTGGTCATCGCAAAGTAAGAAGTGTCCTTTTCTCAGCCAGTTTTTGCCATGAGAATTATATAAATGAGACTATAATACCAAGACAATGTGTGTGAAGTTCATATTACTTAGCCTGGCATATTGCAGTTGGAATTTTAACCCTAACCATCCCAAATCCTCCAAAATCCTTTTTGCAAATTGGAGGAATTTGCAGGATTGAGGTTACATGGCCAAAGTGCGTTGCTGATTTCGGAGTACGCACTGTGTCAAGGTCTTGGGCTGGATCTTGTGTTTATGCTCAACCTAGCATAAATTTAGTCCTTGATTATACTTGACATCCTCCGCACTGCTCCAGGATGTCACTGCCTCTGCCTCAGCCTATTGACAGTCATAGCCGGAGGATTTTGCAGGATTCAGGCAGTGGTCACCTCTCCACGGACCATATTCAAGAAATAATGGAGGAATTTGCAGGATTGAGGCTGTATGCTATTTTCCCATGAGGCCAATTGGAGGATTTGGCAGGATTGAGGCTACATCCTAGCAAAAAGGCCTAGGGAGTTAGGGTTAAAGTAGCTATACAGTCCACCGCGAGCTTGTTCACCTTTAAAACTGCATCATGCGTATAAGACGACTATTTACTGTATGGTAAATACATACATATAACAGTCAGCGTGCAATAAAATACACCTCTGATGCATTGCACCTACAACACCTTTTTCTGATATGAATTGCAGGACGTATCACAGCTGTGACGCATCTGAGGATGCGTCACAGCGCTGCGATGCATTGTAAGTTACGATGAGTTTCATGAAATCGGGTGCTGATCTGATGAAAGTACTTAGCAAAATGTGCTGCTCATTAGCTCCATGAAGTAAGGCCCTATGGCATTTGGCTGATTTGCCTACCTCCTGATACAACATAGTGGGTGGTGGAAGTCAGAATCTGTCAACTCTTCAAGCCAGTAATTTATTAACTACTTCCTCAACTACTTCCTCAACAATTCCTCGGAACCCTAACCTTAACCCTTACGTCATTTTCTCTATGATGGGTGTACAAAATAATCTTGGCAAAACTTTTTGCTTGGATTCTACCGTAATCCATGTTGTATCTATATTATTATAGTACAGACATATTCATCTTAAATATGCCATGGTCCAGAGGTTACGGTGTTTGATTCATGAAAGATGGTGGGTGGGTTCGAACCCTGCCAGGAACATGGTGTTTGTGCTCTTGGGCAAGACACTTAACTACAATTGCTTCTCTCTACCCAGGAGTACCGGTATGAATGGGTGCCTGCGAGGGTAGAGGACTGAATGTGCGCTGATTTGTTAAGCACTTTGAGATTGTTGATACAACGAAAAGCACTACAATAACGCCAATCAAAAATAATAGTTCTGCTTCTGGTTACCCTACCTACCCTATTTTGACAGTCCCTACCCTATTGTTTTTGGGAAAAATGAAAAAAAAAACCCCGAAAATCATCAATGCGCCTTATGCATGTGTCGGCCATATTGAATTGAAGTGAGGTAAAATCTTTATTTTTGGAACTTGCGAAGAGAAATGAAAGCAAGTAAATTAATAATTAATTCCAGTCTGCTTCAATGAATAATTTTAAGTTTGTAATTAAGCATTGCCTAATGTTTTACGCCAGATTTAAAAAAAAAATGACAGTAAAATAAGGCTGCATAAATAGGCTGGCGCTATCCCGTTCAACAGTTAACAATAGATGAATTACATTCAGGGAACTCGACAAAAATGGCCAACTCGTGCATAAGGCCCATTACTACCTTTAACCCTTGACTACACGCAGACACCTCCATATGATCGTACACAAAATATATTGCCCAAAACAAATATTCCCCTAACTATTTTTAAATGCCACGTAATCGGAAGCAGTATTTTTTCTTTTGGCCTAAGCGTTACAATATATTTCTTTATTTTTATTTAGATAGCATGTGATGTAAATTTTGAAGTCATTATGCACCGTTAAAGGGAATGTACATCATTAGCTTTTGCTGTAATTTAAAGAAATGAACTACTTGAGGGGTTAGTATAATAGGTCAAATATTGTTACACTGACATGTTTGAAGTTTTGTGTTCGAAAATGCTGAAAAAACCAAGAAAAACGAAAATGTTCAAGTAGTCTGGTTCCCCGACTCCACTAAGGATAAAATGGATCAATTTATACATGCTGGAAAATTGTAAGGTAAGGGAGCAAGTCTAGCTGGCCTGCACCCGTTCATGCACATGTTACCAATAGCAAACAAAATTTGGACTGAAAAAATGGTAAATTTGAAGCAGAAGTTGAAAAATAGTTAGGTTTTTCCAACGGTGATCGGCTGACCACTGTTGGAAATGTATACAAAAATGCCAATTTCTTGAAAATGACTTCACACCAGGAGCCATAATTTTACAGGATGCTTTTGACTGTCATTTACCAACATCCAAGCAAGGTATTTCGTAAAAACTTGATAGTTTTATTTTTCGATGTTTGCAAATGTTGTATATTCCCTTTAACAGTAAAATTTGCGTTATGTGAATGTTTCTAGTGTAGAGTTTGAAAGAAATGTTACCTTAGCGCTGTAGGTTTTGATCGGCGGGCAGCTCTTGGCCCCGCACACCAGGGCAAAATGAACCAGTGGCTCTGGGGTCTCCAGTGCAATGTTCAGTCGGGGGTCGTTCTTGGAGAAGGGACGGCTAAACTGACCGATGCCTTTCCTGTTGCTCCGTAGCACGCCGTTCTCGATGTCTTGGAGGGAGTAAATGTGGCCCCCGATGATGTAGCACGTCCGGTTGAAGAACTGAAAAAATTAAATGGCGGATGCAATTGAATGGTGCTCCTTGAGCAATGGCGAACTGCCAACTTAGAGTGTAAGAGTCTGGCAGTCTCCTGATGACGTGGGGTGCTGTGGTCCAATGGTTACAGTATTCGACTCATGTGCCGTGGTATGTGGGTTCGAATCCTGACTGTAAGAACATGGTGCTTGTGCTCTTGAGCAAGGCACTTTACCATTATTGCTTCGTCCCTAGGATGGGACGTAATGCCGTAGGTCCCGTGTGTTGTGTAATGCACGTTAAAGAACCCAGGAACACTTATCGCTAAGAGAAGGGGTTTGCCTCGGTGTTTCTGGCAGTGGCTGCAATATGCACCGCAGCACCTTGTAAACCCTTCTAAAGTTGCTACATAATGGGTCTCATATTTCTCATAAACTTTATTTATATTTCTTTAATAATATACATAATTTCCAGCGCCTTGAGTACCTAATTATTGGTAGATATGTATGCTATATATGTATAAGACGCCAGTATTAATGACGAACAGAGCATACTGTTCAAAATGTCGAGTTAAACCAACTGGTTCTTCTCAGAACCACACAACTCACAAAGAGATATCATTCACATGGTGTTACAGCAAACCTCCCATTTATTTACCAGAGATGTAAACATCGTGTTAAAAATACAATAGATTGTTTACAGCTTTCGACTAGCACCTGATTCTTTTGAGACATATGTGGCTGGATAACTCAGTTGGTAAGACTGGTACGATATTTGTGACTTGTAGGTTCAAATCGTACTCCAGTATTTCTTAATTCAACCTTATATTAAATTAAAAAAAAATACACTCATATCAAAATAAGAAAGATATCTTCTGATTGTCACCTTGTATCTCTGCCAAATGTTCGTGGGTGGGCCTTCCTGCACATTAGCGTGGATCACCAGCGCGTTGTACACGTTGATGAAAAATGCGAGTTTCTCTTCACGGGTTGCCGCGGCGATGTCGACGCGGATCAACTCGGCTGTGTGTTTGACATACTGCTGGAATTTGGGACTGTCTTTCATTCCGTGGTAATCCACACCCTCAAAACACAAACGAAAAAAAAAAAAAAATTAATTTCAGAAAGTTTTTACGTTAATAGGGCGTTGTTCTTCACCAACGCACATCTTGTAATTTCATTTTTGACAAGCACTCGACTGCATCTAAAAACTTACATTCCCATTTTCAGAGAAAGGTCCTTATTCATCAAAGGTAATATACAACATTTGCAAACATAAAAAAACTACCACATTATCATGAAGTGCCTTACTTGACTGTCAGTAAATAATAGTTTCAAGCATGTGAAATCATGGCAGCTGGTGTGCTTGCATTTTCAAAAAAGTGGAATTTTTATATCAATTTCTAACGCTGGTCGGCCCCAATTTACCAAATTTAGTTAGTGTACATTTTGTTTGCAATCAGTAACACATCCGTGAACAGTTGCTAGCCTGGTTCCCTGACCTGACAACTCCCCAATGTCTATAAATTGCTCCGTTACGTCTGAAGTAGGGTAAGGGAACCAGACTACAAGAACAGCATTTTGTTTTAAGTGTTTCCAGCAGCTATGAACACAAAACTTTAAACAGGTCAGTGTAACAATATTTGCTATAAAATACTAACCCCCAAATCCATTCATTTCTGAAAATCACAGCAAAAGCAAATGTTGTATATTCCCTTTAAATGGATCTCACTCAGCACTTATAAATATAGTTATTCAACTTCCAAAGATTTAAGAAACTTAGGCCCCCTAAAACTACGGTACTAGCAAATTACAGAGTTTTCTATACATATATGTACCTTGCCATCGCTGGTTAGGTGTTGACTGTAGATATCGAGAATCAATTTCCGCAACTCTTCACCAAGTTCAGAAGCTGAAAGGGAAAATGAGGGGTCAAATTGTGACTACCAAAAAAGTTTCATTTGCAGATGACCTGGTTCGAATCCCCTTCCGGCAATTCTGTCTGTGACAGAATACATGGGTTCTGTCTGAATATTACAGAATAACAGAGTTTACAAGCTAGTCCTAGACCAATTTGGGTGTATATCTGAGGCTTGAGGGCAGCCTCAGGTGGACGTGCAATTTGCTAGCAGAAAACTAACGGTCGGGTCACAAAACTGAACAATTGTGTGATTCTCGTGGAACAAGCGGCATCTCGACACAAACTAATCGAGTCAGTTGCCCCCCCCCCTTGCAAAATTGGTACACACCCAGGTAGGGCTGTCCTTTTTCGAATAATTTAGTATTCGATTATTTGAAACTGCACTTGACCGAATATTCGAATATTCCGAACTCGCCGATCAAATTTTACACATACCAGCTGCAGCTGCCTTCCTCGCTGGTCAAACGTTGCATACAAAGCGTGCCGTTTAAAGTTTGCACAAGGTGATGGATATTATTGGCCCCCAGTGGAGTGTTTTATAGTAAGTAAAGTATAACCGTCAGTGGACTTTACCCAGCTAAAACAATGGGACCAATTTATAGGCGTCAACAAAAAAGTAGCATCTGACAATAAAAAATGCAACTGTAGGATTAAACAGCGTGTGTGCACGTGGATAGTTTTTGTCTTTTTGAATATTCAGACCGGCAAAAAGCTATTCGAATATTTGAATATCCGGTATATTCGGGACAGCCCTACACCCAGGTGCCCCCCCCCCCCCTAGTAGTTTAACCCTTGTAATGCCGCTGTGTGGTGCACGTATTGATAAGGCCAAACAAAATATATTGTGTTTTTACAGTAACCCGACCTACCTGGAATTTTTGAGGCAAAATTACCGACCTCAATCTTGTTATTGCCATTTTGCAAAAAAATTAGTACACGTACATGGTTAATGAGTCTCAAACATTGCAAAAGAACACGCAAATGCATGAACTGGGATGAAAAAAAAACCGACAAAATAAAATATTTCCCTACCTACCTACCAGTATTTTATTCAGGCCATTACTGTAAACACACCATTCATTTTGTTTGGCCTAACAATCAAACAATCTTTCACGGCACATCTGTTCTTGTGATGATTTTTGTGTTAGACCAGTGAAATTACAACATCCGAGACACAATAAAACAAGTATTTTGGAACAGGGGAGTCTCTTTTTTCCTTTTTTTTTCTCTTTAGTAGAAGTTCACTTATCCGCTGAGGGACAGGGGATGAGTACATGTCCATGTACAATGTAGAATACAGCATGGATTTAAAAATAATCGTCTTCACTCTTAAAATTATCAATTGTTATTGACAACAAATACACATGCATGTATACAAAAAGGATTAGTATCTAACCGGGTCGAGGTTCACACAGGGAGCTCATACCCTGGTTCAGGGCCGTCGCCGTGTCGTTTTCTATCAAACGGTAGACTTTATCACTGTCCTCAAACACCTGGTCGTGGGAATTCTTCGCGTTGTGGCCAAAACGCTGCTCGATCAACGCTTGGCCAATCTCTACCGCCCTCTCTCGCTCTTAAGAAAATAAGACAATAAAACAATAAGCTCTGGCAAAAAAAAGTCCACAGGACGTGTTCCCTACCTGCACTATGTGGACCTCTTTTGTTCATAGGTCCACACAGTGACTGCAATGCCTGTTCACATTTGCATGTGCGTTCGTGCTGATTATGAACAGCAGAAATTTAAAGGGAATGTACATCATTGGCTTTTGCTGTAATTTTCAGAAATGAACTATTGGAGGGGTTAGTATAAAAGATCAAATATTGTTACACTGACATGTTTGAAGTTTTGTGTTCGAAAATGCTGGAAAAAACACGAAAAACAAAAATGTTCAAGTAGTCTGGTTCCCTGACTTTACTAAAGATGAAATGGATTAATTTACAGATGCCGGAAAATTGTCATGTAAGGGAACAAGTCTAGCTAGCCTGCAGCCATTCATGAACATGTAACCATTAGCAGACAAAATTTAGACTGAAAAAAAAAGGTAAATTTGGAGCAGAAGTTGAAAAATAGTTAGGTCTTCCAACGGTGGTCGGCCGACCACCGTTGGAAATGTATACAAACATAACATTTTTTTGAAAGTGACTTCACACCTGGTGCCGTTATTTAACAGGATGCTTTAGTCTGTCATTTACAAACATCCTAGTAAGGTATTTCGTAAAAACTTGGTACTTTTATTTTTTGATGTTAGCAAATGTTGTATTTCCCCTTTATTTTGCATAAGCGGGATACCAGCCAAGTTGCCATGCAATGTGTAATGTTAATGTTGACTGGTTATCTGCCCATGTTGAGCGGCAACATGGCCCTGAGCCAAACTTTTGTGGCACCACTAAAAAAAAATATTACCAACAAATTTGTTGTCCTTAATGATGTACGCTATTGACACTAACCAACGCCTTTGGTATTCACAATCCAGTCAACGAATTCACGGCCAACGAAGGAGTCTTTGTAAACTTTCAGCCCTTTGCGATTATCGGAAATCAGTCCGCTTTCCTTCAGATCTTTGACGAGTAAGGCACAGTCGTCCAACTCACAGGTAAAGTTGAATTCATCACCTAACAGAAAAAGGAAAAAAATCAAAGTTCAACAAACAGACTGAGTGATTCAGATTAAAATGGATTCCCAAAGACATGAAAGACTCCGATTACGTTTAATTACAAATTACCCCAGAAGGCTTTGTGTTTCCTGCTATTCCGTTAAAGGTATAGTCCATCATTTGTAATTTGTGCATTTTGTTCGTTTGTAGCAACAAAAGTGCTCAAAATCTAAAGACGGGTACTGAACAACTAACCTGATGAAGTTTCAGCTCAGCTTCAGCTGTATATTTCGAGAAAAACAGCATTATAGGATCTTGATTTCAAATCAAATTTGCTGAATCATGTTTTGAAGTGGGCCTGAATTTAGTGTCCGAGACACGTTTTCACTGAGCCGATTGCAGCTAAGCGATGTCGCGCACTGATCCGACGAATAATAGCAACCGCCAGCGCATGTGCGTCGTGTCAATGCTTGCGCGCGCTTCGCCGAATAACAAAACGAACAACTCATTTAAATTTCCTACGGTGCTTCTTAAGAAGCACCGTTGGAAAGGCCTTCTTTTGTTGATTTCTTCAAAATGACAGCTTACCAGAAGGAGTAATTTCACAGGGAGTTTAGTCCCCTTACTATCTTTCAACCAAGTATGTTTTTCAACACTAATTACGCCAGTTATTTTTTGGATAGCTGCAAATGATGGACTCTGGCTTTAAGTGGGGTGCTGTGGCCCAATGGTTACGGTGTTTGCGCGTGGGTTCGAACCCTGATGGGGAACATGGTGCTTGTGCTCTTAGGCAAGGCACTTTACTACGATTGCCTCTCTCCACCCACGAGTATAAATGGGTACCTGTGAAGGTAGAGACCAGGTTGCGCTGATCTCGAGCTGCTGCAGAAAAATGGTCTCATTCCTGATGATCAGGGATAATGATTGTGATGGTATTTGATCATATTCATATAGTATTTACACAATATAAATGTATAAATTATATCCCGGTAATTATTATTATTAAGTGATTAATAATCCACTGATCAATGGTTATTTAGTTTTATACAACGCCTGAATAAATCCCCTTCATGTGATTGGTGGGTCATTGATCACATGTCACTGAATTATTCATCCCTACCCACAACCCAGTCGCACTGCAAAAAAAAATACAGATTCCCTTTCTAAATTGCTATTGTTCTTGCAATACAAAAGTTATTCACTTTGGAATGAGACATCAACCAAAAATAAAAATCGGCCCATGTTTAGTTATTGAATTATTACTAAGGGAATAAATGTGTGCTCCGGAGGTTTTTATCATTCTCTTTAATAAGCGGTCTTAAACAGAGTGATAAATACCGACCGAGCACACATTTATTCCCATTCATAAATTACTTTTCGGCAAAAAAAATCAAATAATTCATTCAAAAATCCCGATTTTGTTCAACAAGTTCACTTCATGCTTTTTGAAACATCCCTCTCGCAAAATAATGGAGTGTTCAGTTGGCGAGTAAGATGTAAACGACCCTTTTATGGAGATTGACGCGCGCTTAGCATGTTCTGCGCAATGTCGCGCAGAAGGCACCTGGGGCGCTGTGTTTTGAATTTAAAACTATAAAATTCTGACTCGCTGGTAGTGTTGCGCATGCCTACGTGAGGATTGTGAACGTTCAACCAATGAAACGGTAAGAGGCACTGGATTTTTAGGAGTCCACATTTTATTGTGACACTGGAAAAGTGTTTAAGACCAGCTAGCCATGTCTTCATCATCCGTTTAAGACCGGCCACGTGACGGGCTCTCGACCAATAGGAATAGCTAAACTGTCTGAGGTATTTATGAATAGAAATTTGTGGACCGACAACAATTCCATTCTTGTGGGATAGGCTGGTTCCGAATGGAGATTCAGTACCAATCTCAGCTAATCCTGCTCCTCAATATCCAAGGGAGCAGCATACCTGCGTTGGAGGCGATTTTAAGGCTAGGGTCCGGGACTTGGGGGGCATCTGCTGGTGGTTCATTGTCCTCAACGTCTTGAATCATTCTCTGTAACCGCTCCTTGTCTTGAACCTTGAAACGAAGAAACAATGCATTGTTGGGAATTGTGCAAAAATCAACGTATGCAGTTACAGGCGTGGTATAACAATCCTCAAAACTGGGACACTGGATGTATTTCAACTGTTCACCATATTTGTCGGAACTAAATCCGGCACCAGGCTCGCGCAAGTCGCGCTCACTAGTACATATGCACTCTGGGCTCCTTGGACCAAAAGGGATACCAAAATGCGCGTACGCCTCGTCTTTATGAACGTGTGCAGCATTCGCGTGAGCGTGACACCACCGCAGTAAAAGGTTCCGATTCCGGTAGCCGGATTCTACTATAAACATTTTTTTGTCAGTTTTGTCGAACAAAAGGCACAACACCCCCCCCAAAAAAAAACAAGGTAAGCCTAATAAAGCTGGTCCCAGACCACACAAAATTTCATTCAATTGATAGGTGGGTTCCAGTCCCCTTAGAGTCATTTTGTGAAGATCTTACACAGCAGCAGAGGATTGTAATACCATAATTCCCCAGTGTCTTTCAGTAAGTACTGGACCAAGTCCGCCAAAATCCATCACTGACCCTGCCTCACAGAATGCTTTAGGACCAAATCCGCTGAAATCCACCACGCGACGACCACCACTATACATGTAGGTGGATTTTGATGGACTTGGTACTCATGGCTTGCCTACCAAAATGGGGGAATGGATTTTGATGGATTTGGGAAGGTTAGGGTTAAATTAATGCAATTTAAGCTTGTATTATAAGACAATAAACTTATATCACACAATGTTTTGCAGATTTTCACCAAAAACAACACAAAAAGTCAACACAAATATATTTTTCGTCTCACCAATTCTTGTAGATCATCATTCCCTCCAATGTAGTGGGAATTGAAGAAAATCTGCGGCACGGTTCGCTTTCCGGTGCGTTCTACGAGACTCTTGCGCACCGATATGTTGTACTTGTCGACGCTGATGTCATCATATTGAAGATTCAGCTCACTGAGTGTGTACTTGGCCTTCATGCAATGCGGACAGCCGACAATGGAGAACACTAAGATCTGACCCTTCATGCTTTCTGTAGGGGTTAAAGGTCAAATGAGAAAAGACACAATTAACTCATGAATATATGCATGGCATCAATCGCTTCTCAAAAGTGGGGGGGGGGGGGACATACCTTGATCAGCAGTAATCATGCAAGCGCGAAGCCCTAACAACGTGGGGTCATTTTTGGATTCTTTGCTTTGTGGCGCGATCTGAGGCAATTTCTGACCACTTTAACCACATTTTTGAGCAAAAGATCATCTTTGAAACATAATTTTCAAGTTTGGAGTCATTGAATCAGGTATTTTAAGCTATAGAATCATTGTGTAGGCTACAATTTTTAATTGGCGGACAAAAAAAGGTGGGGGACAAACGACATATGATATCCCTCCCAATTTAAAAAGTGGTGTCCCTCTCCCCCCTTTGTTTTCTTGTGCCTGTGCGGACATCTTGTAGGATATTACTTTGACGTCATAAAATTGTTTCTTGTAGTATGGTGGCAAGAACACGCCCCTGTTTGGCAAAATCTAAATCTTAAAATATTAATTTAAAATAAATGATGTATCATGGAACTGTGGGTAAAGCAGGGTATCTGCCCCAACATTCCCAAAAATATTTCTTTTTCAACAAGACCATCTGGGCAATAGTTTATCAGACCCTAAACTGAACACACCTATTTATTTCAAATGGCCTAAATTTAGAGCTAAAAGTTGCCCCATCAATCACAAGCGGAAACAGTTGCCATGGTGAACCATCTCTTATTTCTCATCCATGTTTACGCATCCATTGGACCTGGCAAGCAATGTAAACATGGAATTGGTTGTAGGTTGCCATTGGCATGACAACGAGCGACTGTGTCAATAACTCAAGCTTGCCATGACCACTTCTCCCAATGACGGTGGTACTAAAAAATTGATGTGAAAATCCACTACCTTCAGCATGGCAACGAACAACTGTGTGAATACTATGACCACTTTCCCCAAAGATGGCAGTACATGTACTACAAATTTCATGTGAAAATTTACTAGAAAACAGGGTTGGTAGCTGAACAATCGTACTAAACCAGTTAAGTATTTTTCCGTGACACAGAACTTAATAATAGGACGAAGCCATATGGAGGGTTATTTTTAAGTGGTGGAATATTCTGTGCAACTGGTCCAAAACCGAAACCATCCGGATGTTTCATTTCATTGATGGCACAACTTATTTTCAAATTAGTTCCTGCTTAAACTATCAAGTAATGTTTGCTTTTTGCCTTCAATAACAAAATTATATTGGCCTAGCTTGGGGAACCCCAGATTTATGTTCATTGGAAAAAGAACCAATTTAAGGAACAATGGCAGATGTCACACTTTTGTCCCTACCTGTGCCAATTATGGTGACTCGGTCGAGGATATCCACTAGGCTCTTTCTAGATGATTTTTCGCCTGTGGCGCCTAGCTAGAGCAAAAGTTTTAACTGAAATTTCACAGAAAGGGAAATTTTATCAAGTTCTTAACACTCCCGTTCATAAATCGCGAGTTTATCAACCCGTTACAAAGTTAGATGAAAAATTCATTTTGGCGTGGCTTTCCGATTTTATTTTGAAGTGTAAAGTGAACCCTCTGAAAATGCCCCGAAAAAAATAAGAAAAAACCATTCTGACAAACTTTTGGTTGGGCATGTTGGGTACGTAAGTAGGGATAATAATGGTTTATCAGAATCTATCAACTTTACGGGAATTCTTAAATGTCAATTTGGAAATTTCCGAGATTTATTCAAGTGCGCCACATTAGGGAACACTCCGCCAATTTGTGCCCAATTTCTGGACGCCACCGTTTTTGAATTTCGGGTTAAATTTTATGAAACCGAAATTGCTCACAGAGGTGAAATCGCAAGCATTAATTAGGTCAAAGTACCAGTATTTCACTGCATGAATTTGAGGTTTGTCACCAGGAAAGTCGGGTAAACGTCGAAGTGTGCCACGTTTAGGGAACACCACCGTCCATATCATTTGAACATTGTCGGGCGAAAAAACGCGATTTGTAAATTGTAGAGTTCTACTTGCTCATGCAACTAGGCCTACTGAGTACTGTGCATGTTCATTCTGTTCAGTCGTGACCACTGACTACATAATTGTATTGGCCCATCCCCCCCCCCCCCCCCCCCCCCCCCCCCCTTCTCGATCTCCACCACCACCACACACGAGCACCGCGAGGCAACACGCACAGCGCAGGTTATGGCATGCACATGATCCATGATGTCACGCACGCATCATCTGCCATGTCTGCTCATATAACTTGAAGTTGAAATTACTTTCCAAGGAAATTTACCTACCTTCAGAGAAACATACGGCATTAGATCGTGGCAGGACAATTACCTGTTGTTCTTCACAGTCTCTCCTAGTCCTACCCACCTAAAATGATGTTTTCTCCAAAAATTTATGAGTAGGCCTAACTGACGATCAGACCACAACACGATCCAAAGCGTTTACGTACGGTGTCGACGGTGCCGCGCTGTGGATGATCGATCATGCTGCGCTGATGCACGATCCGGATGCTAGGTGCATGTGAACGTTTCCTGATCCTGATAGTTATTGTACAAACATAAAACAGCCGTAGATATAGATACGCATCACGCGCTAGCTAGCTAGCTCCGCTCCAGGTCCGCCCGGTAATTAATTTTACAGGCCAATCAAATCACCATGAAAACATCACACTGGTGAACAAAAATCGTGTAGCTCTCCTACTGTTTGAACAGTCGCAGACAGTCAAACATTCCATCCACTTGCCCTGCCGTGCCTTTTACTCAGGCCTGTCACAAACATCATCAAGCATGCCGTGCACTCCGAGTTCAATTCAGTCAAAAGCAGGCAACTGACACTCACTGCATGCTGCAGCTGTCATATCAATATACAGTCAAAGCATAATTTTATTATCAAGTCACATAAACAGTCACAGCCAGTCAGTGCTGCTTTATAAAGGCTGACATCTAAAAACAGTCACTTGATTGATTTTGACTTGGAACGGAATGTATATTTGCTTAGGTAGGAGGGTTCATGATTGAAACAAGACAAAGTTGTATTAGTAAAATAGCCTCATTTTTGGGGGCTGGTCGGGCCATGCAGTGTCTTCTGTCGATCTCTGTACAACTAGGCCGGTGAACTAGCCTGCCGGGCAGTGCTATCATATAGGCCCCGTATTCCCGTAATGCCCATTAATTGGCTAAATCCAACCCTTTTAACCCTCTGGTAGGAGCTTTGATTGGTGTGTCTGTCCCGAAAATTGACTTAAAGTATGGTTTTCCATATATGTGCCATCGGCATCGTATTTTGCGGCGTCACTTTTTAAAGCGATTTAATGAAAGACTTTCAGGCAAGACTTCTTGCAACAAGGCCTGAGCTTATTGTGCACTCGCATTTGTTTTTGTTTTTTGTTGACTAGATGCCTTGAACAATTAACTTTTTATCTCACTGGGGCCGTGTCAAAACTGTGCATTAATTACAATGTAGAGTATCAAAACATTTTGGAATGTGATCAAGAGGGAGAGGGGAATTTGAAACACAATGACGTCAGTTTTAAAGAGCTCTAATTACAGTCAAAAGTTACCATTATTGAATGTTACACTGCAAATAAAATTGGGAGACACAGAGGTAATTAGTTCCATATATTAAACTTTGTGTATTTTTATACAATATACACCTAGCAATAGTTAAATATCATTACAGGCATACATTTCAAAAAAAGAAGAAGTTTATTTGTTTGAATTTTTTTTAAATAGCCTAGGACGTATTGATAATTTCCTTTTGCCTACTAGGGGAATTGCAGAATCGATTTCCATAATTTCAAAAGAAGTGTAAACATTTACAAGGATGGGCTCTAATTGCAGGAAATTTGGGCGTACATAGAAAGATATGCGAGTATGGTGCCAATCTCTATGCCTGAAACAAAACCTCTATTACAGGACAACTAACATCCCTGATAAAGCTACAATCAAAACGAAATATACATAATTATGTGATAAAACAAAATATACATTTGTGACCTGTTACAACGACATACGGTGAGCATAAAGTCAGAAATTGCAATTTTGCAGTAGATTGGGGCAAAGTTGCAATTAGAAGAGTTGGTCGATTTTTTGTTTTCTGGTGAACCTCAATCTTTAAGTCCTGTTCTATACCTTTCCCTTTTTTGTTCTGTCAAACATCTTTAAAACATATTTTAATCCTTCTGAATTAGTGACCGCTCAATCATTGTAATAAAACAGTGGGATTTTTAAAGGGCCATGATGTGAATCTTTCTTTAAGGAACATATTTTGTGCAACTTTTTACTCCTCTTAAATGTATGAAAACAATTTGACATACGTTTTTTGTCAATTTGATTAAAAAGTGCACTTTTTTAACAATCAAAATTGTCCATGCTTTGCTGGACAACTGAGGGCGCTTTTGATGTGATGTCATTTCAGGAAGAAACTGCTCAGTTGAGGAGTTTTGAACCCAAAATGTTCACATTGAAAACATTTGTAAGAAATGTTCGCTCACTGGCTTCCTGCAATGTACTGACACAACAACGAATCACCTAAGAAAAGAAAATTTACGAAAGCTAAATATCCAAAATTCTGGCAACTACTGGTGCTGAAATACCGGTGTGGAGGTTTCTGCCTGAAATGACATCATGGACATGCTTATGAATATGGAAATTTGTATAAAAACCAAAAAGGCACCAAAATACCCTTGGAAATCCCAAAACGAAAATTGATATGGTTAAATGGGGCACCAATCGGCATTCTCAAGGTTGCATTAAAAAAGAATTACATTGCATGGCCTCTTTAGATGCCATTTTCCCCCCAGAAATTAGTATTAATACTTCCATTTAGTTGGCGGTCTATTATTATTTTCATATTATTATATTCAAAATTCTTGTCCTGCAGAATCCAGAACTAAAAACATTGCAATTCTTCTAAAAGTCGGGTCTAACTTTATTTTGATCATAATTTGTTGTTCGAGAAATGACAAACAACATAAAATAAACATTCATAGATAAATACACACAGTACATATATACATGCAGTACAACACTTTGTGTATAAGGCCTAGTAAAAAAAAAACACCAGTTGATCATCCTTGCCCGTATCTTTTTTTGTAGCCGCATCCTTTTATTTCATTTTTTTCTCACCTCAAAAAGCTAATTTTTTTCTTGTATCTCGCTTTAATAAAATACATAAAACATGTTTAACATGAATATTTTGACTGTACTTATTATTAGGAAAGCTAATTAAAAGCTGGCAGTCACTTTGAACCGAAGTTGGCGGCCATTTTTAATTTAAATACTTGGCAGCCATCTTTGAACAAAAATATAAAAATTGAAAAGGCCCTCATCCTCCTCTTTTTGAAAAAAAAACAAGGACGATCAACTGTGTTTTTTTTATTGGCCTAAGCTCTACCTTTAAAGGGAATATACAACATTTGCAAATATCGAAAAACAAAACTACAATTTTTTTACCAAAATACCGTACTAAGATGTTGATTTGACAGTCTAAAACATCCTGTAAGATTATTGCACCAGGTATGAAGCCATTTTCAAGAAAAGTGATATTTTGTATAAATTTCCAATGGTGGTCGGCCGACTAAAAAGCCGACCACCGTTGGGAAAAACCTAACTATTTTTCAACAACTGCTCCAAATTACCTTTTTTTTCAGTCCAAATTTTGTTTGCAATAGGTAAATTGTTCATGAATAGGTACAGGCCAGTTGCAGTGGTTCCATTACCTTACAATTTTCCGGCATCTATAAATTGATCCATTTCATCTTTAGTGGAGTCAGGGAACCAGAGAACATTTTTGTTTTTCTTGGTTTTTCCAGCATTTTCGAACACAAAACGGCAAGCATGTCAGTGTAACAATACTTGATCTATTATACTAACTCCTCAAAATAGTTCATTTCTGAAAATTACAGCAAATGCCAATGATGTACATTCCCTTTAAACTGACTGAAAAAATAATGTATAATGAAGGAATTTGTATGGACATAACTTAAAAGTTTACACACACAAAAACGTTGCACAATCACAATTTTAAATATAAATTTACATATGGTATAATTTCAATCATTTGACTAAAAAGCTATGAAAGTGATGGTATCATTTGAAATTAATTTTTGAATGCAACAAAATTGTTGAAGAATAAATTTACAGTTCAAATTCAGTTCATCAGGTCTTTTTTTTTTCTGGCGACGTCATTTCTCTACAGTTTGCCAACTGATGATTGGAATATGTCAGTTATCATTTCATCACCAAAAAAAAAAACCATCAAAAAACCACATTCTGACAAGCCTTTATTAACCACCATTCAACTATTAAAAACACCAGAAAGTCTACAGGTGTACTCCCAAAACCCTGAGAAAATACCTATCCTTTAAATACCCATGTGACGTTGTTGGCAAAATCCAGTTTCCTATCATTTCCCATTTGTCTGAACAAGAACAGATGTGCTTGGTCTCAACATCTCAAAATTTACTGTGCTGCTTCATTTGTCTGTACAGGTGGAGTGCCGTTGTCACATGAAAATCGGACTCTTATGAAAATCGGACCCCTATGTCCCTATTATTGGTTGATCCCTCGCACATGACAGGTCACTCTCCCGAAACGATCCTAAAAATAGCATAGTATCGTACTCACGCGTGCGCAGTACTACGTGTACCAATGAGTCCACATTTCATGGAGTCGGATATTCACGCTACACCGTCACTGCCGTGGCCTAGAGCATTGAATTCATGGTCTGCGGGTAATTCTGCAGGTTGTGGGTTCGAGTCCAGCCTGGGGTTATGGTTAGGGCTGTGCATCGGCACCGGGTACCCGGGTACCCGAGTACCCGACCGTTAATGTCAGGAACCGGATCTAGATTATGGGACCGGGTACCCGTAACCAGCTTTACAAATTACTTAAGTTACTTCACAGGCAATGAAAAAGCAAGATTTTGAAGTCATATGTGGGGAATTTTGAAATAAAACCCAGGCCACATGGGAAAACCAAACAAATTTCACATGTATGATGCTCGTGAAAGCTGCATCATAAAAGCTGCGCCGAAAAGGTAGTATTATCGTGCGGACCTTTGTAAACAAAAAGTCTTAGGAGCTCGCACCAGTTTTCATACCACCGACCCAATGCTAAATCCAAGTTCTACAGCACCAGTTTCTACCCGTCAACGATCCCCATCTGGAACGACCTGCCAAACACTATCACCACCATACCCGACTTAAACCAGTTTAAACCAGCCTTAGTAGACCATGTCATCGGGGAGGGAACCAAAACCCAAGTCAACTAGTTCCAGCACAGCCGCCCCAACTCTAGCGGGATGCGGATTCTACCGTTTAGCTGGAGCAACTGATACAGATACAGAAACAATCTCAACAGCAACTTCCGAGATTTGCATTTTGGCATGTTTGGCGTTAGGTTCTTTAACGGGTACCCAGGTACCCGTGTTTTTTTTCAATCGGGTACCCGGTTCCTGTACTACCCGTAAATGCACACCCCTAGTTATGGTGCGTGTGGCCTGTGGGCAAGGCACTTTGTCACTCATTGCTTCTCCCCTGCCACGAGTAAATGAGTACCTGTGAGGGCAGAGATTGTACATTGTGGCAGCTTGGAGCTGCATACTCCCCAGGGAGCTGAGAATGTCTTTGGAATGTTTCATTGGCCAAATGAGCAAGGGTAACAATGAATCTTGTACAGCGCATTGGGACCTTGTGTGAAATATACTGTATAAGCCTGGTTTTATTACTTTGGGACGCTTCCTCCAACATCACCAACATCCTCCACGTACTGTGCAGGACACCTATGTGCCTGAACAGCAGATGGTGCTTTTTGACCACTTTTGAGAGCCCAGTGGACAGGAAACACTGTGTGGCATATAGTCGTGTTCCCTAACGTGGCGCACTTCGAAGCTTACCCAACTTTCCTCGTGTAGTGTTGCCAAACCTCTTTGTTGATAAACCTCAAATTCATGTAGTGAAATACTGGTACTTTTACCTTTTTAATGCTCGCTATTTAACCTCTGTGAACAATTTTGGTTTCATAAAATTTAATTCGAAATGCAAAAACGGTCGCGTCCAGAAATTGGGCACAAATTGGCGGAGTGTTCCCTTACGTGGCGCACTTGAATAAATCTCGGAAAATTCTAAATTAACATTTAAGAATTTCTGTAAACTTGATAAATTCTGATCAATCATTATTATCTCTACTTACATACCCAGCCAGATGTTTGTCAGAAAATTATTTTCTTATTTTTCGGGGCATTTTCAAAGAGTTCACTTTGCACTTGAAAATAAAATCGGAAAATCACGCCAAAAAAATTTTTCTTTTTACTTTGTAACAGGTAAATAAACTCGCGATTTATGAACGGGAGTGTTTAGAACTTGATGAAATTTCACTTTCTGTGAAATTTCAGTTAAAACTTTTGCTCTAGCTAGGCGCTACAGGCGAAAAATCAAAGTGCGCCACGTTAGGGGCCGCGCCACATTAGGGTACATCAACAATACTGACTCGCACGCATATGGCGCGAAGTACACACAACTCATTTTAATCTGAATGTGCACAAAGCATAGCATCTTCGCTTGAGCGTCAGGCACTGTTGGCAATGTATGCCAGTGGTCTCCCCCAACTCTCCCGTAATCGTTGAGGGGGTACTTGTGCACGGAGACCATAGTAAAATCCTCCAGAACTGAGTCTGAGCACGGATCCTCTACACAAGGATAAACGACTCATCTGAGCTTGTGTACAAAATGTACGGAACGGATTGTCCGCATGCGTGATATGCCGCATCCGGGCATAGAACAACGCATAGAACATGTAGAACAATGCGTGCCCGCCATGATCGCCGACAGCTGGCGTCCTGACAGAAATTTGAGCACAAAAAGACTACAGTTGCGTGCCGAGTCTCGCGCACATGTGCGCACGTGCACGCACGAGGCGCAAGTGCCGTATCACGCGTCTAACCAGAAATTTGGGGAAGTTGTTTATCCTTGTGTAGAGGATCCGTGGTCTGAGACGGTTAGGTTAGTAGACGCAGAGTTCTGGGAATTTCATCTCGTAGGTTGGGATGGATTGGAACTGTAGCGGTGTTGAGGGATCAGGCCTGGTGGGGCTTCCTGCTGGTGTCTGAGGGCTTCTGCACACACACAAAAACACACATATATTTTGGAAAAAAGTCAGTAAATATTATACAAATATAACATGATTTGAGGGTGGATAGTTGATATTAGCTCACCAAGGTATTGGAAGCTGACAGAGTAGTTCAGAGGCAAAGCTGAGGGAACTACTTTGTTGACTTTCAGCACCAAGGAAAGCTAATATCGACTATCCACCTTAAACAAACCTTGTTACATTTATTTAACTTTACCTCATAGATATTGACGGAAATTTTGAGTTACGCAGTAGTTATTTCGACAAAATGTTGCTGGGTGTGTGCCGCCATCTTTTCATGTAGCTAGGGCAATGTGCGCACTATCACCGTGCGATACTTTCTCAAATGCTTATTACAGTGCATGCGTAGTACACATCACACGTGTAACCCAAACGATAGTCGACTGCGCAGGCGTATTGACCCTTTGTGTGAATCCTCGCATGCGCAATTGGTAAATGGTTGATGGTGAATGGACCAATAAGAATTTGGCTCTCGCTCATAAATATGTATGAGGTAAAGTTAAAAAAATTAATTATGTGTATTTACCACTGGATCCTAAAAATGGGTCTTTAGGCTATTGTCCACTTTTGCATTAACCATAAGCATTCGAGAGAATACTCCGTTCTTTATTATGATACATCACAAACTTTCAAAGTTAATGCAGATGTTATGTATGTAAAACTGTTGACTGTTCTTTTTAATTTCAATTTTTCAAGATGTGCTCGTGGGCCTCCAACTCAAAATAGCTCTGGCAACATGTGACACATTTTAAAAAGATGGGATCATATGTATAAAGTGTACACACATGTATTCTTAAGATCCAAATTAAATCAAAGTGACTTACTTTGTTACCGTGTCAAGAATATCATTCAACTTCTGCTGCCATTTTTCATTCTGTAACAAAAAAAGAACAACTTAACATGTACTCTAAACAATTTTTAAATATACCTCCCTCCTCTACATCCCCACAGACTTACAAAACCATTCCCCTGCCCTGGTGACTGCTGCTGTTGTCAGCTGGCACAGCAGTCTATGTAATAGACCCTTTCGCAGTGAGGGGATGTGATATTCGAGCAGATTCGGCGATCAATTATGCAACTAGACCACGTCTTGACATCGAGATTCTGACCATTCAGCAGGCGCCTTCTATATCGGGTCCTTGGTTACCCGTTGTCATTGATATCTATAAATAACACCTAGACACGGTATCTACATTGTATTATGCTTTTACGTTGTAAATCGAGCACAAACAGGCTGCGTCACGTGGCCTGTAATGATATTACGCGATGTGCCAACGTCCTGTTATATTTTAAATAACGCACGTATAATGCGAATGCCCTCTTGCGTGTCATGCATAGCACTTTGCCAACAGTTTTGAGAGCCAATGTCGTGTCTAGGTTTTATTTAATGGTTCTATTATCTCTCCATGCCCGTTGTATTACAAAAACATGGCATTCACATTGACCAATCAAGAACTTGGTCCAGATTTCCAAATGAAACGATTTAGTAAAGTTGACTCTGATTGGTTGGCGCGCGGGGTTGCATACATTTGCATACTTAGATATATCAGATGTTGGACCGGAGACAGAGTGAGCTCCGTTGGACAATGGGTGATACTCAGACTACCAAGTCCCTACCGGTACCCCCTAACCAAGTTCTTTCCCTATTAACCGAGTATCAGCCACCGCATCCAGCTTGTCCCCTTATCCAATCCCTGCCCCCTAACAAAACCCTTTCTCCTATTCTTGTGTTAACAGCCCCAACCAATTCATCAATCCCCTCCACCAATCCCCCACCCCCTAACCAAGCCTTTTCCCTACCCTAGTGTCAGGTCATCCCCTACCCTAGTGTCAGTTCATCCCCACCCCATGACCACACCCTTCCCCTTACCCTGGTGTCAGCTGCCGCAGCTAGCTCATCAACCCCTCCCCCAATCCCCACCCCCCTGACCAAACATTCCCCCACCCTAGTGTCAGTTCATCCCCACCCCATGACCACACCCTTCCCCTTACCCTGGTGTCCGCTGCCGCAGCTAGCTCATCAACCCCCTCCCCCAATCCCCCACCCCCTAACCAAACATTCCCCTACCCTAGTGTCAGTTCATCCCCACCCCATGACCACACCCTTCCCCTTACCCTGATGTCAGCTGCCACAGCTAGTTCATCAACCCCTCCCCCAATCCCCCACCCCTAACCAAACATTCCCCCACCCTAGTGTCAGTTTATCCCCACCCTGTGACCACACCCTTCCCCTTACCCTGGTGTCAGCTGCCGCAGCTAGTTCATCAACCCCTCCCCCAATCCCCCACCCCCTAACCAAACATTCCCCTACCCTAGTGTCAGTTCATCCCCACCCCGTGACCAAAACCTTCCCCTTACCCCGGTGTCAGCTGCCGCAGCTAGCTCATCAACCCCCTCCCCCAATCCCTCACCCCCTAACCAAGCCTTTTCCCTACCCTAGTGTCAGGTCACCCCCTACCCTAGTGTCAGTTCATCCCCAGCCCGTGACCACACCCTTCCTCCCCTTACCCTGGTGTCCGCTGCCGCAGCTAGCTCATCCAGTGTGGAGTTCTGGAAGCTATGAAGCACATCTAGCCTCTTCTGCCGTTCGTCTTCAGCCGAGCTGTCGTTTATACCGCTGATCAAGACCTGCTTCAAACTCTCGAAGGTCACCTCCTCTGGCGGCCGTTTCTGTAAACAAGTTGCAAAAACATTTGTTGGACTATACATGTGTATCGCCATACCAATTTGTATGGTGGGGGGGGGGGGTGAGAGTTCAGTGTGAGGCTGCAGACAGGTAACGATGGGCAGCTAGTGAGCTAGTAACTTTAGCTGGAACAATTTTTCCCCTGAAATCTAGACTACAGGATTTTTATGGAGGCTGAGCATTATATATCATCAGTAGTCAGTGACTGGATACTTTATGACACTAGGTGGCGCTATTCACAATGGCCGCTTTTGCCAATATTAACATGATAATTGTCAATGGGAACGAGTGTTTCTCAACTGGATATTATGATTGACCTGTAACTGACTTGTAACCGAAGAACGATTGATTTGTGATAACGTTTGATTGAGGAAACATACGGGCGTCTGTTTTTTTTCCTTGGTTCTCATATTTTTTGGCCTTTGAACTTTAAGTACGATTGGTACATGGCACAATCACGTGGCTCATGCATGAACACGCATTCGTTGGTCCACAGCTTCCGAGATCCGATTGATCTTGTTTTATTTTATTGTGGGAGGTTCCAGACAGGGTTGGCGGTAACAAATTTTGTTCTGGGGTCCGGAGCCAAAAGTAGGTTTTTACGACGCACTTTTTACAACTCCTGTTGTAGTCTCAGTCTTTGCAGAGTACATACCCGTCCAGCTGTTGGTGATGAGTGGAGTAGCTCAAAGTCAACATTAATGGAGCCAACATCCGTCAAACTCCTCGGTCGAGTGTCAACTACAAAAATCAAAAGCGTAAAAAAATAAAGACGACTTGCATCCTGTCATTACACTTATACAAGTAGTTCAAAAGGTTCCCATTTATGGTTCTGGTTCTTTTTCTTTTGTTTAAATTTTTTTCTCCAAAAAATTAGGGGGAAACCCCTTTCCCAAGTTTTGATTTCATAAGTAAGCTGTTAAAGATAGATTATATCATTTGCAGCTATCCAAAAAGTAACTAACAAAATTATTGTTGAAAAACATACTTGGTTTAAAGATAGTAATGGCACTAAACTCCCTGTAAAATTATTCTTTCTGGCATGCTGTCATTTTGAAAAAAACAAAACAATAAAAAAGGTCATTTCCAAAGATGCGTATACATCTAAAGACACGTCTTTGGAAATTTCGGTTAGTAGCTCGTTTTTAATTCAGCAAAGTCGTGAATGGGTGTGCACAAGCATTGACATGACACAGATGTGCCCGGTTGCTATTATTTGTCGATTCAGTGCGTGACATCGCGTAGCTGCTATCGGCTAAATGAGACCATGTCTCGGACGCTGATTTCTGGTGCTATTTAAAACATGACTCGGCAACTTTGAACTGAAATCAAAGTCCTAGAATATAATTTTCTTGGAATTTACAGCTTTCACTGAGCTAGAGCTTCACCAGGTTAGTAGTTTATCACCCTTTTCTAGATTTTGAGCACGTTTGTTGCTTCAAATGAACAAAATGCACAAATGACAAGTAATATACTCTACCTTTAATGTTGACTGCCAAAGTTAATTTGCATTTCAAATTTGTGATTTCATCGTATTCCAGTACAAAATAACATTGGATTGCACAAAGAAATTGACTGAAGCCGCATTCGAACCTGCAAAGTGCAGAACATTATACCAGTGGTCTACCAACTAAACAACTTGTCGCTCTGCCACCAAAATGGAAAACTGTTGACCCAAATTGCTCTCACCTAAGTTTATGCTCGGCAACTCAGTTAAAACTGGCTCACTGCTCACCATTTTGTGGTTCCTGAACATGGATGTATGGAAGAGAGAGACGCGTGACATCATGGCCGCTGCTGGCTAGCGCCTCGCTGATGCTGTCGACATGGAAAAGCAGGTCGGGAGCCACACCTCTTGGACTAATGTAGGGAAAGACACATAAACAGTTGTAGAAAATTCATGAGCAAGTTTGGGTGAGAAGTATGGCTTACTATAGACTAAGGCCAAAACAAAAAGTCTTCGGCTTCTGGTATGGAGCTTGCCCCAAAAGTGGTGCGGTGACGCGCCTATTTTTATACTTTTTTCGCCTTCAAATGTCGGCTGATGACTACAAATGGTGCCCGACTAAATTTAGTGCAAAATATATGGGAGCCCAGAGAGGCAACATAAAGCTTATACTCGATCGTAATCCCATCTAAAAACACATTAAAAATTGTGCAGTAGCAGGATTCCAGTCAAACCAGTGAGTTTGCCGGTTTTGAGACATCATCTTTTGAGACATCATCTTACATCAAAATTTTTAATTTTGCCGACGAGCATGGCTACAGCGACGAGCGCACATACCAGAAACCGGACCCTTTTTTTGGGGCCTAATCCGGCGGCTGCCATTTTCTGAGGTGGAACCAGGCTTGCGCAAGTGGCGCTCAGTTAGTACGCACGCACTCTGGACTCCTTCCATACAAAATGCACGCGCTTGCAGGCAGACATGGTTTCACCTCAAAAAAGCTTCTAATTTAGTTCACCTAATTAGTCTACGATGTGTCCCCAAAAAGTGTCCGTCTAAATATTTTTGATTAAAAAGTTGAACAAAGACATTGACTGGAGCGGGGTTTGAACCTGCGACCTCCGGATAACCGTTCCGGTGCTCTTACCAACTGAGCTATCCAGCCATATGTTGGTGGTTCCCCAATTAGTCAATGTCTTTGTTCAAGGGGCGCTAGTCAGAAGCCATAAACCAGTATGCCATACAGCTAAGGATCACGGCCAAAGTCACAATACAGACCTGGGAAATAGCAACGTAGTTTATTCACCTAGTCAGTTTCCCTGTGTGGTTCATTTGAAAATGTGTAATAAAAAGCCGTATCCTCTCCGAGTGATACCCATTTGCTATTTCCCAGGTCTGTGTCGTGACTTTGGGCGTGATCCCTGGCCGTATGGCATGCTGGTTTACGGTTTCTGACTTGCGCCCTTGAACAAAGATATTGACTAATTGGGGAACCGCCAACATAGGGCTGGATAGCTCAGTTGGTAGAGCACCGGACCAGTTATCCGGAGGTCGCAGGTTCAAGCCTCGCTCCAGTCAATTTCTTTGTTCAACTTTTCAATTGTTATAATTCACCTAGTCAGTTTCCCGGTGTGGTTCAATTTGAAAATAAATATTTTTGAAACAAAACCACAAAGTAAATTTTGAACATCTTTAATTGTGCAGATACTCCTAAGCCTTTGGCCTAAACCCCTATGAGTGATATTCAATTTCCATCACGCCTCACTGCACAATGGTCAATTGATCACAGCAACAGTGTTGGACACTGTGACCGAGTTCCTTGCCTTTATCAATTTCAGTGCTGTGTTAAGTAAGCTGTGCAAAATCCTGCATGTTGTGAAAAAGGGCTACGGTTGGGATTGGAATCATTTGCCTGGCTATCAGTCATCATGGCCAGACCCCAGTTTAATGCTCAAGGGCAAATTGATAACATGTGTAAGCATTGAAATGTTCTTGTACTCGAAGTACTGGTACTCGTATTCATGGAAATGTACTTAACTGCAACACTGTGTAAAACACATGAAAAACTAATAAAATGTCCCTAACTCTGAGTACAGAATAAACATCTTTCATTAGATGCAATTAAAACAATAGCAATAACATTAAGCTGACAAATCAGATCACAATATGCAAAGATTTCAGACTCCATGGCCGAGTTCGGGCGGAATGTTCTTGACTATTATACAACTGACATACACATCCTTGTCATTTGATTGGTGGAACTCACATCACGTGACATTCGTTATTACTCCCATTTGTGTTGGGGCCCAAAAAGTTGGGAAATACATGTACTATTCAACAGTTAGGATCCGTCATTCTTGTTCCATGATGCGGTACTTGTGTGCAAATGCATGCTGGTGTGCCATTCAACGTTGCACGTAGCGCGTATTGTTCCAAAGAGTCAGCGCTACAGCGTTGGGTTCAAACATTTTCGTGAAGGGGTGGTTGGGAAGAGAGAAATACATTTTCCACCAATTTCGTATGCAAATAAAAGTCCAAATATATCAAATGACAAGGATCTACATGTCAGTTATATAAAACAAATATTGAGTGGCTTTAAATTGGACGAGTGAAATGGAAAAAAGTCCATATTTTACCGAGCGACATTTTTCCTCCAATTTCACTCTGAGCCACTCAATATTTGTATATTGTTCTGGCGCTCGAACAGCAAGAACACGACCCATGAACACTGTCCTAGGAACAGGATCACACACCACCTATTCGTCGGGGTTTTGCAAGAACAATATACACGCCGTCAAGAACAATCTGCCACACTCGGCCATTTTGTGCGACTTATAGGAACCTCTCTCTGCATGGACAAAAGAGGCCGCTATTGGCTAGTGTAATTGTCAGCTAGGGCCAAGTTCGCGCAAGGACTATAGTTGACCAATGGTTAACTAACGTTTGCCCGAACTCTGTCTAGTCGACGGTGGTTGACTACGCTAGTCGACTATTTGGAACCAGCCTACTGGGGTTGGTTGCTCCGCTGGTAACCAATAGCCGCGCGCATTCATAACGCTAGCAGAGAGCCAGGATCCAGAAGTTTTGCGATGACATTTTGACCAGTGTTTGACTAGGGACGTTCGCACGTTGCTACCAGTGCACAGGCGTAAGGTACATCACAAATCAACCACTAGTCGACTAATGGTCCTTGCTCGAACTTGGCCTGGTTTTAAGGTCAATACTAGGACAATTAGATGATTGGTCTATGCAGGGAATGATAAGCAGACTGAAAAGCTGCTCCGTGGTTTACAGGGTACCAGCTCAACTTGCCTTGTTGCCGGAACTTTGTCCTCCACGCTTATTGGCGGGAGAAGATAGGGGGCGCTCTTGCGTCTCTCCTCAATGACCTAGACAAAACAACACACTGTCTTGATAAGACTACATTGAATATTGGCTACGTTCAAGAACCGTTGGGATGCTGTCTATTATATGTAATGGACAAAAAATGAAATGTATTTTTGGCAACTCAAGGAACAATACAATCAATCTGAAGCAGGTTAATAAAAAACCTGTCAAATTTTCAGCTCAGTAGATATACTTTTTGAGAAAAATGTGAAAACGCATCTTCGATTTTTCTCGACACAAAGCAAGGTTGCCTTCCAACATCCCTTCCAAAAAATGCATTAACCCTAACTCCCTAGGCATTTTGCTAAGATATAACCTCAATCCTGCAAAGTTCTCCAACTGCCTCCATGTAAAATTGCATACAGCCTCAATCCTGCAAAATCCTCTGTTATTTCTTGAATGTGGTCCTTGGAGGGGTGACCACTGCCTCAACCCTGAAAAATCCTCCAGCAATCACTGACAATAAGGTGAGGCAGAGCCAGTGACATCCTGGAGCAGTGCAGAGGAATTCAAGTATAATATAGGCCTATATTTATGCACGGCTGAGCATAAACAACACAAGGTCCGGCCCAAGACCTTGACACAGTGCATCATTGGAAAGCAGCCACACACTTTTGCTGTATAGCCTCAATCCTGCAAAATCCTCTATTTTGCAAAGAGGATTTTGAGAGGTTAGGGTTCATATATTTTGACTTGATTTGTGTTGAGCAAACACAGAGGCGACTAAAGCTCCACACGTACCTGGGAGATGTGCTGGCACAACGACGGAATGGCAGTCAACTGACCAATCAGATTCAAGTACTGGGCGACGATGCTGTGGATAGCGTACAGGTGAGTCAGGGGCATTTTGCAGTTGGGGTCGCAGGCATGATCCTATGAAGGTGAAAATACAACAACAAGCTAGATGACATACATTTAAGCACAGTTTATCTGTGCATGACCGAATTTGTGAGTTGCACTCTCCATTGGTCGTAGCACAAATAGAGCGTGCAAGTTGACCTCAGATTTTATGGGAATGCAGTACAAACAATGTACAGGCACCATGTGTAGGATTTACAATGTGTGTAACATCCTTTTTTTTTTTGCATATTTTATTTTTGTCCAATTTTTATTTATTTAATTTATAATTTATTTTTTTGGGGACGGGGGAGGGGGTTGGGGGTGGTAATCTGACAACTTTTCTATCCAAAGATGATCACCCCTAAAAGTAGTCATGAAACCCATTGCCATTTCAAAGAATGATGTCTACACTCCATTGAAAAATAGTGCAATTTTAGGGCCCAATTTCATCCAAATTTCACAGAAATACGAGGTCGCAGTCCTGTGCATGGCTCCCCCTTCTTTCTTTTTTTACAAACCCTCAAGTTCATGGCCCACAAAATGCTCTAATAGCAGAGAATTAGAGGGCATGCAAATCATGATTATGCAAGCGTAGCCAATTTTGGGCCTATTTACCGGCCTGCAACCCTATGAGCAGTCCATCAAGCTTCATAAAGAACACCCTCTACGGGTCAAGAACCTAACTTATACCACAAACAAGAGAAGAAATTCAGGCTGTATCCAAATTACTTGGCTACATGGAAGTGGCTGGAATGAACTCCAGAACCTAGGTGTTATATTGTCGGCTGTAGACAGGTTATTCGGACGTGGCCTTACCTGCAGAGCCAGGGCCAGTTTGACCAAATCCACCAGGATATCGTCTGTCCCAAGCTCCACGCACAGCAGCGCCATGGTGCAGTAGATGGCCACAAAGTTCTTGGTGGTGTTCTTGACCCGGATCAGGTTCTCAAAGATGTGCCACTGGAACTCTGCTCCGTGCTGTTCAGGGGAGAAAATAAATAGATATTACACAAAACTCTCAGGGAGTGTGTGGCCTAGTGGTTAGGGTTCGTGACTCATGATCAGAGGGTCCGGGGTTCGAATCCAGCCGCTGGTCATATATTGTGTCCTTGGGTAAGGCACTTCACCCCCACTTGCCTCTCTCCACCCAGGAGTATAAATGGGTACCGGCATTAGCTGGGGAGTAACCTGCGATGGACTGGCATCCCATCCGGGGGGGGGGGGGGGGGGGTAGAAATATTCTCAGTCGTTTCATGCTACTGAAACCGGAGATAAACGCCGGCCTGATGAGCCACATTGGCTCGGGACAGACTTTACTTTACTTACACAAATTTTCCATAGGCCAGAGACCAGACCTCACTACACACGTGTAAATGAGGACTGGCAACGGCCTCATGCTTCTGCAGTTAGGTACCTGTAGATCTTATTGGTCAGGTTGACAAGCACACACAGAATGGAGACGCATGACACATCCCATGTGATAATTAAATTAGGTTGACCCCTACGTCAACCTGACAATCGGCGCGCTAGCCAGGATCAGACTTTAAATTACCTTTCTCATGAACATGATATCCTGCCGCGAAGCCTTTTCACATTTCAGTTCGAGGTCAGCGATGTTCTTGACAATACCACGGTTCGCATATAGCTTGATGACGTTATCACGTCGGTCAATGAGCGTGTGGAGAATCTCTTGTACAATGACACGGATACCTGTGGCATTGCAGTAGAAATATAACATTATGTCAGTGAAGGGCAAACAAATTTACTGTACCTCATACATATTCATGAGCAAGAGCCGAATTCTCACTGGTTCATTCACCATCACATGTAAGCTGCAAGTTTTGCTATTTACCAGGCACGTACGTGAGGATTCACCCACAGGGAAAAAATATATGTGCAGTCGACTATCGCACAGGTCACGATAGTCTACTACACGTGCACTTTACTAAGAAATTGTGGAACTATCGTACAGGGGTAGCGTGCATATGCAAACACCACCCTAGCTAAATGAAAATTGGCAGCACGTGCAGACCATTACGGTGTAACTGCAACTTTCGCGAGCGTCATCTGTCGTGCGTTAAAATGCACATAAACTTGAAAATCTGATTTTGGTTTTCCATGTATCCTGGCTTTCATTTTGAAAATTCCCCACAAATGGAATTCAAGACCTTTCTGTTTCATTGTCACAATAGTTACCAAGCAATTTGTAAAAGGGTTAACGATTCCGTAATCTCGAACCAGTTCCTGACATCAGCACTCGGGTACTTGGGTACTCGGGTACTCGGTTCCAATACACACCCCTGTATCAGAAGTTTGTAGTGTGGCTCAGCACAAGTGAATGTCCGATCCAGTGTCTTTCAGGGAAGAAAATGTGACTGATTCCATACCTGGATTTGTAATGACAGACATGTTGAGAAGAGGCTGAAAGAAGGATGCTGGGAAGGTAGTTGCCATGGAGACAGTGGTGTACTTTGTGCCCACCTACAGAACAAAATATCACATGGCTGAATAAAACCCCACAAATGTCCTATAAATATCCATTCAACATATTGACACAAAACAACATTTTTATTTGTCAACTTTTGAAATCAGTACTGAAAGGTTAACCCTAACCACCCCAACCCTTCAAAATCCAACTGCATGTGTTTCTTTGGAATCTGTTGGAGTGAGTACTGCACTAGGAAACTGATTATGCTTTACTTCAGCTCCGCCCCCCCCCCAAGGTCTCGGCCATCAAGTGACGAAAAAATTTGAAACTCGGTACATGCATAGAACAACTCATCATGAACACACCCAAGAAATTTCATGACTATAGGTCAAAGGGTTTTGGAATTATGGCTAATTAACTATTCATATGTACGAATGGTAATTCTGCTCTGTGTACACGACGTACATGGGTAAATTAAATTAAATTCTATGTTTTTGGTATCAAAAGATGCGCAAGGCTTGAGGCTAAAAAGTCAAAACAACTTGGGTCGCAAAAAAAAAAATCAAGGCTATGAGGGCCCTCCCCCCCGCCCCTTTAGGGTTAAGACATTTTTCATATGGACAAACGATGAATAAATTTAAAGAGATTTTTTTGACACCTACCTCCAATAAACTCTTGAGAAGCATGTCCTGAACAAGAATGTCTCCTTCCCTAGAAAAAAAAAGGGAGAAATAGTTCATTTACAATTTTCGTTGTTGATAACTTATTGGAAATCTGGGTTGAATGAAATGCGAGTTTTCAACCAAAAGTCAATATTTTCACAATGTAGTGAACAAACAATTTGGATCTGAGGAGGGCCATGTCAATAATTAAAGGTAGCGTCCATCATTTGTGATTTGTGCCTTATGTTCGTTTGAAGCAACAAAAGTGCTCAAAGATTAAAGAAGGGTGCTGAACAACTAACCTGATGAAGTTTTAGCTCAGTGAATGCTGTATATTCTGAGAAAAACAATATTCTAGGATCTCGATTTTCAAGTCAAAAGTTGCTGAGTCATGTTTTCAATTGGGCCTGAATTCAGCGTTCAAGACTCATTCTCACTGAACCAATGGCAGCTACGTGATGTCACGCACTCGGCCGACGAATTTTTGCAACCGCGCTCACCGTGTCAACGCTTGCGAGCACTTCACCATAAAAAAAATGAACTATTGATGGACATTTCCAATGATGCATCGTTAGACGCATCATAGGAAAGGCCTTCTTTCATTGATTTCTTAAAAAATACAACTTGTCAAAAAGAATAATTTTACAGGGAATATAGTCCCATTACAATCTTTATACCAAGTATGCTTTTCAACATAATCACAACAGTTACTTTTTTGATAGCTGCAAATGATGGACTGTACCTTTAATGTGGAAAGGAAAAGGTTAAACAAGTTCAATAATCGTGACATACCCTTTGGGTTCCAGTGATAGGGGATGATCCTCTTCCTGTAGTACTGTGCTGCTACGGTCTCTAGGCATGGGAACCTTGCCCATGATGAACATCATGATTTCAATCTTCTGGTAATCAGGGAGGATGTTGGCAAAGGCACCTGACCATGACAAAACAAACAAGACCAATTATTGCAATATTTATCAAATAAATGTGTGGAGATCCGTGGAGCTCCGTATTCCAATGCTTATGGTGTTCGACTTGTGTGCCATGGTTTGTGGGTTGGAAACCTGACGGGAACATGGGGCTTGTGTTCTTGGGCAAGACACTTTACTGCAATGGTTATTGTGTTCGACTCATGTGCCATGGTTTGTGGGCTGGAACCCTGACGGGAACATGGTGCTTGTGGCCTTGGGCAAGACACTTTATTGCAATGGTTACGGTGTTCAACTCATGTGCCATGGGTTGTGGGTTGGAACCCTAATGAGGAACATGGTGCTTGTGTTCTTGGGCAAGACACTTTACTGCAATTGCCTCTCTCTCATTCCAGGAGAATAAATGGGGACGTATGAGGGTGGAGATCAGATTGCACTGATCTCAAGCTGCTGCACATAAAAAAATCTCAGGGGTAATAACTGTGAAGCACTTTGAGACAGGTATAAAGCACTATACATGGATCATAAAGAGTACTGAAATTATATAATTCCCCTACTCCTTACTTTGCCTTCAGCCACTAGTTTCAATATGACGATCCGTTAAGTTCCAGCCCCATGATGTTATGATGATAAGGTTGGCGTAGAGGTACTTTCCTCGACTTCCATCCCTCTGAACCTGGTTCGAATCCAGCCTGGGCCAATATGTGGACTGGGCTTTTCAGTCCCTGCCTGATTCCATTGGTTTTCCCTAGAATATCATTCTGGGGTTTTCCTCCCACCACTAAAACTGTAATTTCCTTTCACATCTTCTACCAAGGGACCCAACTGGAAATAAATCAAGAGACGTTCGTGGGCTATCCCTGCCATTGACGAATATTTACAAACAATTGTGACCAATCACAGCCAAATGACAGCATAACCGAAAATCTGACACGCATGCACTTACACGTAACATGTGCAAAGAATGCTGTGTGGCATTGGGATATGTGTGTGTTGTTGCCCACCGTGCAAAGTGGGCATTGTTAATAACCAAAGAAGGAGCAGTCCATTTGTCACTCTTGATAAAAATCCTAGTTCGACTGCTTTTATTCTTACCAATCGTGTCAATGATTGCCTCCTCGAATAATATCTCCTCGTTCTCATCAAATTTCTGCTTTGTCTTCTTGGAGCTAGAGGCCGAGCGGTCAGTGGACGATGCCTGTCCCCCGGACAGACGTTCGTCCACGGACATCCGTAAGTGTCGCAAGAGGGTGTTGAAGATCTCAAGGACCGAGGGCCCCACCGCGCCATCTGCGGCGATGGCCACAATCTCCTTGAGAATCTCCACGATGCTGCGTTTGATCTTCGGCGTGTTCTTCATGTGCTCGTCCAGGTGGAGCAGTAGAAAGTGGGGCGTGACATAGCGGTACTGGGACTGTAAAAAGAAAGAATTGACAACGCGTGACCAAACCCAACCCAACTAAAGTTGCCTGCGCTACTTTGGATAATAAATAAAAAGAAAAAAAATTCAAAAATCATGCGCAGTGGAAATCAATACGAGCAGTCAACATTTTCATTCGCATAATATCTGCATTTATTTCAGATGTCAAACTGAGTGATTTATCAAAATGAGGAATGTAAGATCTCTCTATAGCATATACAAAAACACTTGGTGAAAAACAAAATTTTTAAGACTCATTTTGTACAATCTAGCATCTGACATTTGTGATCGTTAATTCACCTTTACTCACGATAAAGCATTTTTTGCTGTGAACCTTCCTCAATCATCCAAGATGTATCTAATATAACAACTGAAGGTTTCCGTTATTCCTCTGTAATAGGATTGACCAGACATTATCTACTTTCATTGTCAGACATTTAATTTTTCTGGCCCTTGCAGTATGTTTCATAGAATTCTTTAGGACTTCTCTACAATGTGCGTCAAAAAGAAAGTGACCAAAATGAGTGATTTCTTCTCCTTATAAAAAGTACTTATATTTGATACACCAATGAAACATTTTCTCCTACCCATCTGAAAAAAGAATTACTGAAATTGATCCTAGCTATCAGAATTTATGCATGCAAAATGCATCGGTGGAGGAAGTATTTAAAATCAGCCGGTACATTATCAGCTGTTGACCACCCACGTGACAGATTTTCAACCAATAGGAACGGGTAAACTGTCTTAGGTATTTATGAATAAAGAGTATACATCAATGCATATTGGTAAATGATCAGTGGTGGACAGCTGAATTTTATATTATTTCTATTAAAATGGAAATAACTTGTGAATAGGGTATACAAATTACCTGAAATTTCCACATTTTGAAATTTCCACAGTTACTAGTCAATGACATGTACATTATTCCTATATTATTTTTTATTAAATGCAGCGAACCCCATATCTTAAAAAAAAATTGACTCGGTCACTTTCTTATTGACTCACACTGAAGGTTTATGGCATTGGTTTAATCTAAATATTTTAAAAAGTGCTACACTACCTGTATGGAGTACATGATTCCTTTGAAGACTTTAATGGCAAAGTTGTTGGGCACCCACAACTCATGCAGGTCTAGGTGTCTGGAAGGACAAAACCAAGTTGGTGTGAAATATGGCATTCTCAATTTTGCACTTCCTGTGCTATTGTTGAGTTACACTCCAAAAATAGATTTTTGTTTTTAAATTGTTCTTCACTTTTCAATTAGACACTGAATCAAAAAACTCTGCCAACATTACTTTATGGAAGATTTACTTTGCAAATTTTGAATTATTTGTGGTCCTACATTTGTCCTACAATAATTCAGGGGTACCTTTCTTTGCGCAATGGGCGCAAAAGCAACCCAAAATATAAGCGCATTTTCAGAGGGTTGAAACTATTCAAAACAAGTGATCTGCCCATCGCATGTGTCGCCTTTTCCGCGGTTTGTGTTCTTCAAAAAAGTCAAATTTTGTGCATTTGTAAACGACCTCAAATGACCCCCGTGGAGGCTTGTCACGTTTGGTCTGGACATTAAAAGGCTTCAAAATTATTCTAAAGCCAGATATGAAGCCGAAGCTGGATATAGTTTTCTTTATGCTTCCAAAGCTACAGCTTTGAAGAATCCTTGGTTTCATAAAAGGCAGGAGTTAGAGTAGATAAGTTGTTAGTGGATCAAGGGCGGATCCAGAACACAATTTTTTGGGGGGCCCAAAAAAATTTTGGTCCCCCCAAAAAGTGGGTCAAAAAAATTACGGCGTGGGGTTCGGGGCCCGCTTAAGGGCCCCGAAATTTTTTTGGATTCTAGATGCTCTGTGATGCGATCTGAGGCAAATTCTGACCACTTTAACCAATGTTTTTTTGAGGAAAAGATGGTGGTGTACTCATTGCCTGCCTTTATTGCGATGTCACATTAAAAAAAAAAAAAAAAATTGGTTTCGTTTTTGGGGGGGGGGGCCATGGCCCCCTTTGGCCCCCCCCCTGGATCCGCCATTGTAGTGGATAAACATACTTGAGTACAGGCTTGATGACTGTATGGATGTTTGCGTAGGCTGCACGTCTCATGACATCACGAAGACAGGAATCAGCCAACACCTCAGGCTTCTCCTCTGGGTGATCATGAACTGGAGACTCGTGACTACAATGAACAAACAAAAAGGGTCTAGAAATCATTTACAAGATGGAATTTGCTTTGGGAAATTCAGTATTGGGTTTTGCCCTTCACTGTCGTATTTTATGAACACTGTATACAAGTGTTGCAGTACTCGTACTTGAGTATATTTTTGGTACTCGTACTCGTACTCATGAGAATGTACTCTTATACTCAAGACACAGTCCTCGTACTAATGATAAAGTACTTTTTCTGTTGCAAATGATCTCCTGCAAGAATTGAAGAAAAAAAAGAAGAGTGCTAGAAAAGAACAAACTTTCTATTGTTTGAAAGGTTTCTGCATTTGTTTAATGCCTAGTTTGACAGCAAAAACGCCCTTGGGAACACGTGTATCCTTGAAATTCGCTCCTACTTATGGAAAAGTACTTGTTCTCAATAACATTATTGGCTGCTCGTACTCGTACTCATGAAAAAAAAGTTTTCACTTAAAAAAAAAGTAGGAGTACTTTGTCATGAGTACGAATATGAGTACAAGCCGGGTGGGACTCGAACCCCTGACTTCCTGCAACATTTTTTGAGCCGTTACGTTGGTACGTTTCTTGTACTTGCACTATTTCTAATGGTCTTTTTTATTACATAACCCCATACAAAACAAACATATCAACAAAATCGCACCTGTCGAACCCCTCGTTCATGTTGAAGAGAAAAGAAGGGACAATTTTGTCCATGTAGGTGGTGTCCCAGATATTAACTTGTAGTTCGTCGCTGACTGTCTTGCGCACTACACCCTGTAAGCCCTTGAGGCCAGCTAGACGAATTCTGTAAAGAATAAGAGGTCAAAGTCATGTCATAGGTCACAGTTCAAAGGAGATTTTCATTTTATCTCTGATTTTGATTTGGAAAATCACTGCCCCAGTGACTACTTGATAACTGTAGATTTTTTTGGTAACATTTTAAGACAACTCACCTTTTGTCTTTTGAGTGTGTTTTCTGCCAGTCGGCCAATCCCGATCAATTATAAACAAGACCTTGCTAGACCAGTACAAGACCAACAGAGGACCTCCAGTCTCAAATTAAGTCTCAAGCTATTCAAATGAACTGCAAGGAAGGCATTCCTTTGTCATTATTCGTGCCCTGTTTCTTGTGAATGGCCGGGTGTTGTGCTTGCTCTACAATTGGTCTTGTGTGTAGTCTTGTGATGGTCTTGACTACAGCATTGATCAGCAAACTTTAGCAAAGACCCAAAAGGGAGTGATTGGGATCTACTGAGTGAGCACTTTGCCATCTACTGCTCTGCGTCCTAACTAGTGGGTGCTTCAATCAATTGTCAAGCTTAAATACTTTTCCCATATCAGGGCCCAATTTCAAGGCTCTGCTTACCACAGAATTCTGCGCTTACGATCACCACTGTTTGCTAACCGCGCTAGCAGAAAACTTCTGTGCTAACCCTGTAAGCACAGAATCCTTAGTCACGGGATGTTCACAAGCGCAGAAGCCAAAATTCCTCGCTTACCCGTGAAATATGCTTACCGTAAGCGCAGACTTTTCTGCTACAGTAAGCGGAGTCATGAAATTAGGCCCTGATTGTAAGTGGTGAGCAGCCACATTAGTCAATTTGAGTCAAATACTTTGAGTTCCCTAACGTGGTGCACTTTGATGTTTCCGTCAACTTTCCTGCTGCAGTGTTGCCAAACCTCTTTGCTGACAAGTTTAAAATTCATTGAGTTAAATACTGATACTATCACCTTAATAATGCTTGCTGTTCAACCCTTGTGGGTAATTTTAGTGCAATGAAATTTGTAACAGTCTGAAATTTAAAAATGGTGGTGTCCAGAAATTGGGCCCAAAATCGGCAGAGTGTTCACTAACGTGTCGTACTCGAACAAATCTTAAAAATTCCCAGGTGAACATTTTAAGGATTTCTTTCAAGTTGAAAAATTCTCCACACACCTATCAAACTACATGTTTGTCGGAATTTATTTGGTTTTTCTTTGGTTGCATGTACTTGAAAAGAGTTCACCGCGCACTTGTAAAAATAGTACCAACATGTGACCAAGGTAAAATTTCTTTTCAACTTTGTAACTGGTAGGCATACTCACGGTATCTGAATGGGAATGATTAAAGCCTGATAAAATGTCACTTACAATGCAATTCAAGGTCAAACCTTTGCTCTAGCAAGGCACTAGAGGCGAAATATCAGAATGCCCAACATTTCGGGCTGCACTACGTTAGGGGACATCTACAATACAAGGGTAAGACTCACTTGCGTCTTGTTTCTGCGTGGTCGCTGTTGTTGTGACACATAGAGGCAAACTTCGAGATGAAGAAATCGTAGGTGCGATGGTAAGACGGTGTGTCCTCCTCAATCTGAGAAAACTTCACAAACTGATGGAGCAGAAAAAGAACACCAAACAATGTAATCCAGCCCAACAAAATGAGAACTGTTGAGAATTTCAGAAGCCCTAAAATAGATATTGCACAATGGAAGTCAATGAAACAGTGCACATTTTTCAGCCACTTAAATTTGCACTTTTGGCAGAATGTGCTTTTTGGGGTTCAAAAACTACCAAGAAATAAAAGCAGTTGCAAAGATCATTTTAAGTAAAATATGAAAGTTCAGCCCTTATGCCTTGAAAACTGTTATTTTCATGTAAGTAACACGCGAAGGAATTTTGGGGTACAGAAATTTGGTCGATAAACCATTTGAGCCCTCGCTCGCCGTTATTTTAGTCACTATTATGTTGCTTTTCCAAAGGGTGTCGCAAACATGTGAGCTAGCGTTTGAAGGAATCGGTCATGGACAGTAAAAAATATCAATCCACTTCTGCTGCAATGCCTTTATACACAGGCTAGTCACCAACAGTCGGATCACATTTTCAATAAGCACTGTGACTAGTCAAGTTCAGTCAACAGACAAAAGCAGGTATCGGGTACATGTAAGTACAGCCGGCCTATCACCTGCAGTCATGGCAAGGCTGTATCAAGTTACATCAAACAGTCACAGCCAGTCAATCCTGCTTTGTTAAGCAGGGAGCTCTTAACTGATAAAAACAGTCACTTGATTGATTGATTTTGACTGCCTGGGATGACTTTGTAGAATTTGCCAGACAGAGAGGGAAGTTTAAAAATGAATAACCTATTCTCTTCAAAGAATGGATTTTTTTACTCCTTACAAATTCTATATTGTATGTTTGTTTTAACGAAATTATTATTTCGAATTGGGGTGTCTGCAACCCTCTGAAAAAGGTCTTTCATTTTGTGCAATAATGACCACCCTTTGAGAGCAGAATAAATTTTGTGAATAAACAATTCAACAACTAAACGTCAGTGGATTTTTTAGTTCAATGTCCCACTGAAAAGAGAACACCTTTTATATTGCTAGGAAAATAGCAATTGGAAAAAAAATATCTATTTTTTGAGGGGAAACTCGAAAATAGCACGGGGAATGCATATTTAAAATTAATAGTTGCTGGTCTCTACACCTTCCTAGATGCCCCTCCACCCCCAGAGAAATCCTCTAAAACTCTGTGGTGGATTTGGAAAGGTTAGGGTTATGAATCGACATGGCACTCACTGAGTTTGTTCCAAGTATCTGCAGCTCAGGCATGTTGGACTCTAGCAACTTGTGGACCATCCTGAGGAAACTCTCCACGAAGAGATTCAGGCTCTGGGCGTGGCAAGCCAGGAGGAGCTGATCCAGAGCCTGCATTGAGATGACTACGTATCTAAAGCAACAAAGGAAAAACAAATCATCAACATTGCAAACAAATCTAAATCGTGCTGTGTCACATATGCAAATATTTGATCATCCACTAAATATCAGAATAGCATTTTTTTCGTTATTTAAAACAATTTATTAACCCTAACTTCCTAGACCTTTTTGCTAGGATGTAGCCTCAATCCTGCAAAATCCTCCAATTGGCCTCATGGAAAAATAGCATTTAGCCTCAATCCTGCAAATTCCTCCATAATTTCTTGAATATGGTCCGTGAAGGGGTGACCACTGCCTGAATCCTGCAAAATCCTGCGGCAGTGACTGTCAATATGTTGAGGCTTGGCCAGTGACATCCTGGAGCAGTACGGAGGATTTCAAGCATAATACAGGCCTGTATTTATGCATGGCTGAGCAAAAACAACACAAGGTCTGGCCTAAGACCTTGACAAAGTGCATCCTATGAAATAAGTAACACACTTTTGCCATGTAACCTCACTTTTGCCATGTAACCTCAATCCTCCAAATTCCTCCACTTCGGCAAAGAGGATTTTGAAGGATTCAGCGCGGTTAGGGTTAGTTATTTCAAACGCCATGTGTATTGACAGTCAGGATGTGAATTTGCAGTTAATTTTTGTTAACGTTTACCAAATATTTAAATACGGTTTGAACATTTGCAAACAAGCCCTCTGGTTTGATTCAGGTTCAGTTCAGACATTTGTATCTGAGCATCTGTTCAGTTTCATTTAGGCTGCAAATTACATGTCCAAAGCACTTGCTTTGGGAGTATACCTGTTAATCGTCTTCATGCATAGTAAACCTCTTTTAGGAGATCTTTGAAGGACTCAGTCCCATGCCAGAATAAGCACGGCCATGCTACACTGCCGCTGCTTTACAGAGTGAATTTAAATAACTATTTTTGATGTGCTTGTAGTGCAAGATTTTGAATGAAAATTGAGCTGCATACGTGAAAAACACATCCATATATGTCCCTTTTTATTTAACCAAAAGTGCAACTCAACAACATTTTGATGTCACAAACTATTACAAGTGGTCCGAGGACCACATGTGTCTCCCTTTTATGTTTCGTGTTTGTAACAAAAGGCAAAATGTGCACTTTTTAAAACAATCAATGACCCTTGTGTCCAAGTTTCATGGAATTCAGGTGAATACTTGGGTAAGGAGAGTAATTATTTTGAAAAACTTTAACATAAACTTTAACATACATGTACGGATGAATACGGCCATACATTTGTACACACGGTAATATAAAGAATTTAGGACTGGTAGGTGTTTCCCAAAACATACATTTGGGCGACACACAAAAAATACCCCACTGGTATTTTTTCTTTCACATTGATGGTGATTGAAGGTGCATGAAGCATTTCCAATTAATTTTCCCCCAAAGTCGACCTCAAATGTGTTGCCTGACTTTGATTGCTTCCCTTCGCTTTTTGTGTCAGGAGATTAAAGCCAACAAATTAAAGCCAACACCTCAGGACCAGTACTACTGCACTACTTCTCCTTAACCCATTTATATTTGTACATGTATGTATATTACCCAATCCTCTGTCGGTAGACATCTCTGTCCAGTCGGTGGGCCAGGTATCCTCCAATACGATCCAGTTTCTCATTATGAGAGACGGCGTAGAAAGTCAGCTTCTCCATGTTACTACGCACCAAGCCATCCTGACACAAACAAAAATTGAACAAGAAATATTGTCATTGTCAAATGTTGTGTTTCATATTATTTGCTAGCAGTATTTTCGAAGTCCAAGTCATAGAAATCCACACGGTTTACATTTTAAAATAAAGAGAAAATGCTGAAAAACCCACTTTCAAGTAAAACTGACTGAGGTGCAATTATAGTAAACTGTTCTTTTTAAAGGTTGAACACAGAAATAGACTGCAAAGTGGGGTTTGAACCTAAATCTCCAGATTGCTGTTCCGGTGCTCTACCAACTGAGGTATCAAGCCCTAGGTTGCCGGATCCCCATGTTATCAGTGTCTTTGTTCAAGGGGCGTTAGTCAGAAGCCATGAACCAATATGTAGCCAAGGATCAAGCCCAAAGTCAAGTCGCTAGCAAAAATAACAATGCTGCAAAACTGGGACTTGCACTCAGACAGAATATGGCTTTTTATTACAAATGTTCAAATGAACCACAATGGGGAATCTAGCTTGGCACGTTATAATAGTCTCTTTTTTTTAAAGGATGAATATCAAATTGACTAGAGCGGGGTTTGAACCTGAGACCTCCAGATTGCTGACCGGGTCTACCAACTGTTAACTTACATCCGGCATTGCAGAGGCTGTTACTCTGTATACTTCCAGCAAAGAAAAATAACAGCTATATCTACTGCAGTTGGACTGATGAGAGACCTAATGAAAACGCTACTGGTGTGCTTACAGAACTGTACATGTACATTAATGTTGTGCAAAACCGACCCGAAACTGAAAAAGACCCAACCCAAAACTTTGGTCGCATTGTCCACCATTTCAGTCTGGGCGGGTCGGTTTCAGTTTTGCGTTTGCGAGTTTTTGGTCAGGACGGGTCGGTTAAGCAATATGTGAAAAAAAACCCAAAACCTAAAATAAATGGGAACAGTTTGCAAATTCACGAGGTGCAATATTATTACAGATTATACTGTGCCACGCCCAGTACGACCAACGTCAATGTGCGTGTATGTTTGCGGTCTATCACGTACAGACACGCACATTCTATAACGTGTGGGCCCACCAGTAGTTTAGCTTATGAGTCTTCACTGTATCGTATGCTATGATTCTGTAACGATTAGACAACGATTTCCATGCAATGCGGGTAAGTTCAGGCACAAAAAGTGGACAGAATTGCCAAAGCAAGAGAATCAATATTCAGGGGTTTTTTTTGGGGTCATTTTTGCTTGAATTTCTTTCGGGTCGGGTCGGGTCGGGCCAAATATGGGAAGTTCAGATCGTTTTCGGTTCGGATTCGGTTTTTAATAGAATGTTTCGGGTCGGTTTGGCCTGGTCAACCTGACCCGATGCGAATGTCAGACAAGTCGACTGTTGAGACAACTCGACTCTGGACAAGTCGACCGGTCACACGCAGGCACGTCGACCGGCGCAGCAAATGGGCGCACAGGCCCGGCACAAACGATGTCACCGTGCACGGTACGGCCACGTTGACCGGGGATGCACGCACGTGGCCTTGAAAAAAACGAACGATGTGCACGGACAATCATGCTGCGCTATATCGGCTCTGTTATATGCAACAACAAAAAACTCATGTGTCATCACTCCCAAACGGCGACCAGCCGCCGTCAAAGTCCCCGGCACTATCCCCGAAACTAGGCCCAAAACATGCGAGGCGACTTGTCTCAACAGTCGACTTGTCTTTCCATTTATCGCACATACGGTCGAGTTGTCTCAACGGTCGACTTGTCTGACCCCCCCCCCCCCCTGATGCACAACATTAGGTCCTACATGTAGGTTTTTTTGTAAACATGATGCCAGATCATGTATGTATATCCAAACTAGTCCGAGTAACTTGGACCCAACTTATCGCCTTTTTAAAAATTTGGACATGGTCTGGCGATAGTAGGGTCCAAGCCCATTCCTCGACCTAGACAACACAGTCACTGACGGTCCCAAAAACCAACATTTTCCAACAAAAAACATCAGATTTCACCTTCAAAACGGCCTCCAAATTACTAGATATGCCACCTGAGGTACAAGTAGACATCGATAATTAAGATAGTTGTACTGAAGTTTACTTACGATCCGGAAAAAAGTGAAATTTTCCGTTCATTTCGGAGAGCTCCCCTCGCGATCTTGAACACGTTAAATTTGCGATCGTGTTTAAAGTTTGAACGACGCGATTTCTTCTACATGCCCAGCGTACATTCGATGGTCCCCGTATCCCGAGTGCGATTCCGTTACCGAGCGCGCGCGATGCATTGATTATGATAATGAGTAGACTGGATCACGTTTGTAAACACATGTGCATTTCAAACGATAATAGGGAGTCGGGAACTAGCGCAGCTTTTATAGCGGGTACCAGTTCAAGCTGGTTCCTGATTCCCTTTTACAGTTCGAAATGCACATGTATGTGTTTACAAACGTGACTCATTATCATAATCGATGCATCGCGCGCGCTCGGTAACGGAATCGCATACGGGATACGGGGACCATCGAATGTACGCTGGGCATGTAGAAGAAATCGCGTCGTTCAAACTTTAAACACGATCGCAATTTTAACGTGTTCAAGATCGCGAGGGGAGCTCTCCGAAATGAACGGAAAATTTCACTTTTTTCCGGATCGTAAGTAAACTTCAGTACAACTATCTTAATTATCGATGTCTACTTGTACCTCAGGTGGCATATCTAGTAATTTGGAGGCCGTTTTGAAGGTGAAATCTGATGTTTTTTGTTGGAAAATGTTGGTTTTTGGGACTGTCAGTGACTGTGTTGTCTAGGTCGAGGAATGGGCTTGGACCCTACTATCGCCAGACCATGTCCAAATTGTCCAGTCTCCTGACGATGACTAGAGCAGGCTAGTCGAAACGTTGAGACCAAAGACAAGTTCTTTTAGAACTTACAGCAGGACTGTTCTAAACAGAACAAAAAACTACTTAGCAAGTTGATAATAAGCAGGACAAGTTCTTCTCAGAACTAATATCTTCTAAGCAGTAGTTATTAGCACATGGTGTTACCGCAAAAACCCGAAACGATACCGATACCCCACCATGCAAAGCCTCAAATCTTATATAAGTTGGGTCCAAGTTACTCGGACTATATCCAAACTCACCTCGGGATCCGCTGGGAATATGCTGTCCACCAAACGCTTGTACCGAGGCTTACATGATGACAGGCAGTTACAGCACCCTGCATAAACGTAATGGGTCATGCTGGTAAACACGCCTGGTATGCATCAATGCCAAGCAGTGAGCGGGATACCAGGGAAAAAAAGGGAGCCCATGCGTGTGCATTTCGGTCATGCATAAAGAAAGGCAAAGCGCAGAATATAAAGTGTAATTTACACAACGAAAAAACAAAGTGTGTAGGAAAATGCCAATTATAAGCAATTTCAAAAATCAAAATCAACCATGAGAGTAAATATTACATATAGAAATAAATTTAAAAAAATACAATGGATTTACCCCAATAAATTTCATGCACCATCGACCATTGAAGATTATTGGTTTTTGAGGAGAATAAATAAAATCGGGTTTTGGGTGTAAAGAGAAAGACAAATTGTCATAATATGAATTGACATCTACTTGTACTGATTATAGACTGTAAAATTCCACTTTTAAATATTATTAAAATGGTAGAGACACATTTAATTGAATAATTGGCAAATTAGAAACTAAAAGGTGCATCTTTTAATGCGTTACTTTGAGTTTGAAGTCCAACTGAGCGAAGTACTCCTAGAACCATGAGGCTCCGTGTAGTGTAGCCCCATAAATGTGGCCTATTTACTGGACTGCCTCCGTAAACATAGGCACACATCCACATGTACAAAAAGCGTGTCGACTTTGCCAAATTTTGATTTTCACATTTAGGCTTACTTTTTACGGTTTTTTTTGCTTTAGAAGCATTCTCACCCTCTATATAGGCTAATCAGAAAGTGCTGCCTTTTTCGTGAAATTTCCGGATTCATTTGCACACGTTTGCGTATCAAAATTTCAACATGAAATTTCACAAAAATTAAACATCTGAAAAGGCAGCACTTTCTGATTAGCCTTTATAGAGGGTGAGAATGCTTCTAAAGCAAAAAAAATCTACAAAGTAAGCCTAAATGTGAAAATCAAAATTTGGCAAAGTCGACACGTTTTTTGTACATGTGGATGTGTGGCCTATGTTTACGGAGGCAGTCCAGTAAATAAATAGGCCACATTTATGGGGCTACATGTAGTGGAGCCTCATACTAGTTCTAGGAGTAAGACTGAAGCAGTTGGGAAGAACCTTTTTTTCACACTCTCCATAGCTTTGTACACAACCAAAGCACTGACGTGTGAATACTGCATTCCTCTCTCCCTATAAAAACTTACCAGGCATCGCTCTAGTTTTCCCGGAACTGGTTCAACGCAATCGAACGGCAATACGGGGAGTTTGTGCAAGATTCACGCCCCTCGTTTCTCATGTCCCTGCAGAACTTACTGAGGCAAAATCAACATCATCTTGGCATCCGTATTAATTCATGAAGATGTGAGTGACTACAGTTGAACAAAAGCAGACTGATACTCCAGTATTTTAATTATTTTAAATGCAAAATGTTAATGCTGTCATTATCTTTCGTGATGTGAGCCTGTTATAGCGCCCTCAATTGACAATTCGTAAACAAGAAATGAGGTTATTGAAATTTGGAATTCGTTGTGGTTCTGGCTTCTGATGCTGGTCACGTGACAATAATAAATTGATAACTGAAGTCTTTTGTAGTCGAAGCTAAATATAATGATCTGGTCTTAGGTCTCACGTCAAACGAATTTGATGTTCTTGAACAAAATTTGGACCCATATTGACTTGGAGTGTCCATATCGGGCTTTCTAAATCTCAAGAAGTCCAGAGCTGCCAGAGCCGAAATTTCGAAACCCCGAACAAATGTGGATTAAACCTTCGGTTGTCTTAATTTTAACAGTAACAAACAAAGATTCGAGAAAGTGTAGCTGTTCATGTACAATCTATTAGGTATATGAAATCGGATTGTCTTCTGAGCTTTCATTACTTCCGTCCGTTTAATCATCTCCCCGTGACCCGTATTAACGGTTAATTGTTAGCATGGGCGTCGCAAGAGGGGGAGGGGCCAAGGGGGGGGGGGAGGGTTAACGTTTGCCCCCCCCCGGAAAAATAATAATAAAGGGGGGGGGGGGGGTTATAAAAAGGAAACAAACAGAGACGGGAAGTCATACTGCTGTTCATTTATCGGGTGGGGGGGGGGGGGCAAATGTCCCTGCCCACTTTCGAAAAATGATAAATCGAGAATATGCTGGAAAAGTGCAGGGATTTGGGGGGGGGGCGATGTGCTTTGCCCACCCTTTAGAGAAAATCCTAGCGACGCCCATGGTTCGTTGTTATTGGGCGTTAGGTCTACACGCTGATATAAAATACTGACAGTTAAAGCATTTAAAATTGCGGCTTTCCCCTTTTAATCGCAAGAAATAACTTGAGACTGAAAAGTATATGAGTACGATTAAGTGCACTTTCTCCGATCCACTGAGCAATATAGGCTATAGTGTTGTAGTCGAGAACTTTTCTAAGATCTCACATGAAGCTTTTGTTAGTGAAATACCGGATTTGCCTCAATTAAAACATGAATTCATGATGAAAGATTACCGGTCCTCTGACATTTGGATTGACTGAGTGTTAAAAACGGGATTCAAAATAAACTTTAATCAGGAAATAGTCCATATCGATCTAAAAAGGTCTTGAATCGAGGTGAGATTTTGACTCAAAAAATTAAATTTATACCCAAAAGATTAATGCTGATTCAAATATATACAAATAAGTATCCTTTCATAATTCAATTATTTTACTTAATATTTCAAGTTGTAATTGACAATTGTTATTAAGAGAATGAAATTTGAATTTCTTGAAAGTTCTCGGAAAAGTTTTGAATACAACATACACTGTTAATTATTAATACATAAATTTCATATAATTACTATATACCATCGCAAAGCATTTTTTAAAATACAAATTGGTTAAACAAAAGTCTTTGACAAGTATCCAACTCCACAACTTTATATTTTGGCAAGCAAAAACTACAAAACAAACAGAAAACACCCACTTACAAACACCCCCCAATAAAAGAAGATAACAAATAAACCACAAAACACCATTACCAAATCATTGGCCTAATTCACTACGCACTAACGCATTAAGTCCATTCGGACTTTATAAGATGGAGTTAAAAAAAAAACAGTGCCCCCCAAAAAAATCTCCCCCATCGTCGCCGAATATCTCGAAAAGCGAGGCAAATAAACTTGTTTCACAAGTGACCTTTTTTTCTTTCGAGCTTGTCAAAACGTTTGCATGATAAATAGTTGGAGTAGGCCTACTGTATTTTGGCGCTGAATTTTCCCTCTAAATTCAGCTCATTTGAGTTGCAGAGTCTCTGTGCATCGACCGTCTTGAACGACGCAGTATCAAATCTTTAATGCCATTGTATACGTCTTTATAAGTAGTTCGTTTCTAACCACCTAAGGTCTGTTAGTCATTTTGACAAAAAAATCGGTTGGACCCCACCAAATTGGTTAAAAACCTTCTGATATTGGTTATCAAACCAATTTGTTTTCAGAGTGTACGTACGCATACACTTTTTTTTACGAACCCTTTCAAGTACTGTTTCTTCACAGAGTTGCATCTCTCGTTTATATAATCTTCTAAATGACTGACCAAAATAAATACCTTAATGCATAATATTTACAAAGCAAATACTAAAAGTCATACCATTATTAACAAAGACGTCTGTCTAGGCAATTATTACGTTTTAAATCGGTTCCCAACAGCACACATCAAATTATAGATACCAAACTCTAGTGCAGACGTCATTATTTTGATTTCCGCTCTTACTAGTCTTCTGACAAGGCAGCCGTGACTTTGAATACTTTGACACAGCGATTTGACTAGTTATGTAGAGAGACCATTTTCTTCGTGAGAGGGGCACTGCTATGTTGCTTTTGATGGCAAATTTTCCATCTTGAGAGGGCACCAATTGTTAAGGCAGGAGGGTATTTTGTGCATTCGAGGGGTAGTTTTCCATCTCGAGACGCGAGAAGGTGCACAATCTTGTTTAATAGTGCGAGATTGGGTACTTGTGTTTTTGCGGGGCAGTTTTCCATCACAAAAATTATTAAGAGAGGAGAGAATTTTTTTGTAGCGCGATCATTATGCTTTCGTGTGTGCGTTCTAGAGGCAGTTCTGTTTTCATCTAGAGGGGGCACATTTATAACCGCGAGACGGGCACTTTTTTGGCCTGGGGAAATGGGTGGGGAGGGTTTGGAAACGCGAGAAAAGGTTTGCTCGTGGTTTGCTCGTGCCACTCAAAACAAAACAAAACCGTTGCACTCTTATCCGCATTAACGCATACATTTTGGGGCTTATTTATTGGCCTGCAACCTTTACTGCCTCGATTTTGATGGCAATTCTCTCGGAGTTGTCTGTGAGCCAGCGAGTTAGATCCAAAACCTGGAAGGTCTTTTCTTCCTGGTTGTCTGGTTTTATGCGCACTGTGTCCGGGATGGCGCCACCTTCATTGCACTGCTTAAGGAATTCCTCCATTGCAATGAACTGGTAGTTCTTCTCATCTGTGCACGGCTGGGCCTGCATGTGAGGAAAATATTTCATTTTAAAATTGTCACTCTTCATTAGGGGGCCTAATTGAATTAATAGTATGCATTTCAAAGTGTACATTTGTGATTTAATCAGCTAGTAGCAGCTACACACGACGCATGGAATTGGACCATTCGAGGAAAGCTGAATGTATAATTTCAATACAAATTGGGCTATGTATCAATTTCAAATCATTATTATTATTATTGAATTTTATTACAATATTACAGTTAAAGCTTTCACATTTTTTCTCTTCGTGATGATATGACCACTATAAATTATGTCAAGTTTTTGTTGTTGCGATCGAGTATAATGTTTCATGCTTAACACTTTGTTGTATAAATTCGAAAACTATTTCCTTGACAAAATAATTGGGTGAATACATGTGACTTCCGCAAAAAAGAAGTGTCAATAGTCTTTGACCAAATGTGACTTTGGACATTTGACAGAGCGGCAAAGCTGCGAGGTGGCGCAAATCGAGCGAAGACTACACAGCACAGAGGCCGGGTGATGAATTCGCTTGAGACCAACCTCGTTTCCATGGGTACGATCTTGATGCGCCATGTTGTTTCTCATCATGCCTTGCGCGATCTTAACTTAGTGAAGGAACGCGCACGCGCCGAGGCTGGCTTGAGACTTGGCGTGTGTGGTCTCCATTCAATCCGCTTCGCACGGTTAGGGTATCGGGGAATGACCAACCTGCATGACCGTCTCCAACAACTCTTTGTTGTTTTGCACAGAGCCAGGGATTCCCACTTTGTTTAGCTCCTTGTTCAGGTGTTTCTTGACCTTTCCCTTCCACTGATCAACACGATCGACCCCGGGATGCAGGTCACAAAACGGGAAAGTCACTGCAGGCATCGGCGGCTGTGTGGCCGATTGGCCACCATGCGGCTGCCAAAAAATAAATAAATAAATAAATACATGAAAAATAGATAACATATTAAGGGTAGCGCCACAAGTACGCATCTTTACAATCGATAAGTAAATTTTGTCACATAAAAGTAATATTATTAAAGTCATATGACAAAATTATTAAATAAAGCAGTCTCAGAAAAGTATCGTCATTATTTTCACAGCTGAAAGCTCTTGTACAAAGGCACAGCACAGAAGCAGAATGCACAGAATGCACAACTCCAAAAAAGGCTTACGTGGCATTGTTGACAAGTAAAATATGAGCCATAAAAAAGTAAAACGTGTTAGAGTTTTGGTGGCTCCACAAAAAGTATTTAGAATGTTACTGTGGCAGGGCCAAATTTCACTTGAAATTTTTATTTATTTCTAAATGTTTTAAGCATATAGGAGTATCCACCCTTTTTTGGTTAGTTTAGTTAGTATCCACCCTTTTTAGGATGCACAATAAATTCAATAGTTTTTCAGCACATCCGCTACCTTTTTCTGATGTTTAACTAAGATCGAATTCAGTAGTTTGACAGCCTCTCCGCATGTGTCTCTGCACTTCGACCGAACTTCTGTAGGGTTAGTCCCAAACAGCGCGTCTTCAACTGCTTGATGGCACCGACGGAGTGTTTGAGTATAAAGTGCGCATGCTCCATCGGTCAGTTTCGACTCCAGCTCATCAGCCTCCAAATCACGTGACGAAGATAACCTTCTGTTGTGACGAATCAACGCTATCTTCTGTGAAATTTGAGCAAACACCCAATACAAAACAGTTTATGTTTACAGTTTGGGAAAATAGGTTTCATTCTCGTTATTTGTTGTTGTAGTTGTTCAGATTTGTAATTAGTCTATTCGGTGTGCTTCTTTTACAACCGAGATTCGGTAAGGTACCGATTTATAATTAAACGTTTGAATCTGGTCTGTGTTTTGATAGTTATCCTGACGTCAATTTTACCTCGAGTAATTTCCAAGTACATGTACTTCCAATCCGGAACACGAAACCTTCGTTGCTTGACAACACTTCCAGCAGCTCGCCAGCTTTCTCATGCTCGCCATGTCTGATATCATCTTCAAGTTGCTCCACCTTTTTCCTCAGATCTCTGGCTTCCGTCATGGTGTCGAAGAAAAACCTGCAGATCTCCTCGACTTTATCCGTACACTGACGAGCCAAGGTGACTGGGTCCTTGGATGTCTCTAGTATGTCATTTAAATCAACATCACTGTGTTTGATCTTATTAACCGTCGTGCAAAACGTTTTCAGGAAGCCATTTTGGGAACTGCAGCCTGGTTGTGTCTGAAACGAAGGTGAAATAAGATTGGTATTTATGTTTCATTTCAAATTAACCATGTGGATAAAATCACGCCACAGATCAGTCTGTAATTGAGGGGTCGGTTGGTTGGTGCAGGCTACAAATTAATAAAAGGGTTCACCCCAGTCCAACCTCAACCCACGCCCATTATTAGCAAGATTTCTCTCAGCGTCATTGGTATATATCTTTAATTGACTTTGACACTCGGGTTTCTGACAGACCAGTACCCCTCTCATGATATGTAATCAATTCATGGTTCGAGAACCACAGACTGTATTCTTTCAAGGACAGGACACATGAACGCCATCTTCAAAATATGTGAAAGTCTACACTGTATTAGCTAAACATGCATACCTTGAGGAGCTGCTGGTACAGCTTTGGATAATTTTTCTCCATGTCGATTCCAAACGTTTCCATCAACTTGCTTCTTAGTTTGTCTTGCGTTTTCGTCGCATTTTCCTCATCTAATATCAGCGGAAAATACTGACCTTTAATCTCTTCAATGCCGAGTTCTTCTTTCTGTAACGAAGAAACGGATTATCGTTATTCTACTGGTAATAAGGAAGATTTGAGAAAATACCTCGCAATTGGAGATGTCTGTGCCATTTTCAAGTTTCAAAGCAAAAAATGATAGACTGTCTCCCGTTTTCTATCAGCATCGATAATATAGGAACCGGGAACCAGTGTACTCAAAAGGTGCACCTGTTTGTACAAGCATTTTTTCCGGGGTTTTGAAAGCTCCCAGAAATAGAAAAAAGTATTGTTTTGGTAAAATATAAGATTAAAGTAGAAAATCCATTTTGAGAAAAGAATGGCATCTGATAAAAAAGAGTACTGACAGTACAGCTGCAAATTTCACTAATGTGCACGTGCTTTATATTAAATATTCTCCCAAGTTTTATTTTATGTACAGGATCCAACAAACTTACATTTTAAACTGGCTCAAACTATGCGTTTGATGGTGTTTTTTTGGTTGTTATGCACAGAATACCTACCCCAAACCTGACAAAAATACGGTCCAACAGAGGACGTAGTTTCTCATAGCAATCGGTAGCGGCGTAGACTATTTCATCCGAAAACGTCTCCTTCGTTTCCTCTTGCCTTCCATCCAACTCCAGCTCCCCTTTGTTGTTTTCAAACCTATCTCGGAGTATTTCCCTCTCCATGTTGAAATGCTCCCTCCAAGCCTGTCTGAAGAACGGCTGCTGGTGTAAGATGGCCAAAATACCACGCTTGATGGTTTTACAATTCAACGCCGATGCGTCTTTGTCTCTATCGCGGCTGCTGAGACCCTTTTCAAAAGAGAGGGGTTCTTCCTCTTGATGTAGAAGATCGGTACCACGAAGGGAGCAACTCACGTCAATTTCCGCGAGAATCTATAATACCGGGGAAAATAAAAGAAGATAAAGATTATAGAATTGAAGCCCAAAACATTTCATGGTAGTTTTAGTTTGAATTTACTTTATAAACAAGGACATAAAAGCAACGACCTACTTGGAGGAACATCCATCTTGATGTGACTTCAAGACTATCTTTTTGGACTAGTCTCAGTAACTCCAAGCTTGCAACGAGACTTCCACATCTGACAGCCTCCCTGTAGGACATGATGCATTGAGACTCCAGTGGTATTGTGTCCTGTCCCTGTGTCCCTGACACAGATGACGTGGATGACATCTGCTGAGCTCCTTCGTCAACTTCCACGGTGTTCTGACTCTGTGACCCTGACAGATCGGATGTGGATGACATCTGCTGAGCTCCTTCGTCAACTGCCGTGGTGTGCCGACTCTGTGTCCGTAACGCAGTAGACGTGGATGGCATCTGCTGAGCTTCGTGATCCGCTGTCGTGATGTCCTGACTCTGAAGGCCTACCAATAATTGAAGCTCATTGTGTGCGATAGCTAGAGCAACTTCCGCCAATAGCTTTCGACTCTCCCTTTGTTTCAGGCCGAATTTCATTGCACCAAGAACCTTGTCGTGAGCTTTCTTGAATATCTCTTTTGCTTTTTCTGGTCTGAGATTTTTAGACAGAGCCTGTTGTTCTTCTTGAAGACCCATCTTCAGGTATGTTTGTGCCAAGTACCATGGAATTTTGAGGTCAGCCTCAGTATCAATTAGCTTAATTAACTGTTCCACAGCTTCCTTGAATTTGAAGTTCTGAAAGTGTAGAATTCCAACTTCAAGGCATGGTTTTGTCTGAGTATTATAGTACTCCAACAGTCTTTTGTAAGCTACCTCTTTAGGCTTCTTTGCCTTCTTTGACACTTGCCATGTACCTGACACATCGTCTAGATATTCAAACGAAGCTGCGACGTATATCACTTTGTGCCAAATATCCATCCTTGATACTTGTTTCGAAGCCTCTGGGTTATAATGGAGGTAATTAGCATATCTAAAGTAAAGATCTAGCTTATATTCGGTCGTCCAGTGCTCAGACTGCTGCAACATGGTTTGGAAGATCTTGTCAGCTTCTTCGTGGTTCCCAAGAGCACTATTTACATTGCACAATTTTGTAAGTGCAAAATTGTGTCCTTTGTTGTATTCAAGGCATTTATGAAGCTCCTTAAGGGCTTGCTTGTTCCAGTTGTCCTTTTGCTCCTTTATTTCTTTGTCTCTCGTAGAGCATTTGATGTAGCACAATGCCAACTGAAAATGACTTTCAGGACAACGTGGGCTGTGTTTAATTCCCTCTTCTAATATTGATATTGCCTCTTCGAACTCGTTTCCATCTTTGTAATATCGTGCCAAATTTATCACAACCTCTTGCACATGGGGTGCATGTTTGTAAGCTTCTCTCAGGTGCTGATGTCCTTTCTCTCTCTTTTCCCACTGTCGTCGGCTAATGTTCAATCCAAGAGCTGACCTTGCCAGCTGATATTCATCTTTGATTGTCATCATCTTTTCCCAGTACTCTTTTTCACTGTTCATGAGCCTCTGACCTTCGTTGTCCAAATCTGCGAATTGAGAGCTAGTGGCTCTCCTGTATCGTGCCATTCTGCCAGTCATCAGCCCAGCCCCATAGATGAAGTCTACATTTTCCGGGAAGCTCTTCAGCGCTACTTCGAAAAGCTGCAAAGAAGTTTCATGAACACTAGGTCCTAGACGTGTCAAGGCTGTGGCGTGCACTGCACCGATCACAGAGTAGTCTTTATCCCCTAACCTCAAACCATTCAACTCACTGAGCAGATCTGCCACCTTTTGCGTATTTTGACATTTGTATTCGATCCACATGCGATTCAGGAGTGCTACAACTCTGTAGCCGTTATGAAGTTGAGCATCCGTTTGCTCTATGCGTTCGTCGGCTTTGTTGAGGAATTCCCTCGCTTGATGGACATCCCAACGCTTTCGGTTGTCCCATACCTCTAGGTAGGCTCTGAACAAAAGGCCTTCCATCCTTAATAGGTTTGGTGTCTCTTCTAAATCATGATCTATGTTCAGTATGATTTTCTCGTAATCAGCAGTAACCGGAACTTTGAGATTCCAAGTGAAGTGACAAAAAGATCTTTCTTTCCAAGGCAGTGTTCTCCCTTCATCATTCTCCAGGTCATTTCTGTAAGGTGTATAATAGTTCGAAAGAATATACATGTCAGTAATTAATTTTTTCCCCTTCCTTTCCTTTATTTTTTGCGTTTGTTTCTAGATGTCTTTGTTTTCAATGGCATCCTGAAAAGAAAACAGATAAAAAGTAGACGTGTAAAAACGCTCGTAATCGACCTGAACTTTGTCATTAAAACAATGATACAGGGATGAATAAGGCCGAAAATATTGTAAGGACATTGTTGATAAAATAACACTGTAAAATAGTGTTAAAAGGGAGGCAAAATTGTATTCACTACCCTCTTGTGGTAACTGTTCTATAAAATAACGTCACTGCGACAAAGAAAATGGACCAAAATCAGGCACGGTTCGAAAACCAATATTTTGGGGGGGGGGGGGGGGGGGGGGCTAGCACGGTGGATCCAGAATTTTTTCAGGGAAGTGTGCTGAAATGTAGACCGGTTATTTTCTTCAGACACTTAGGCCTCCGAAAATCAATAGGTGGGGGGGGGGGGGGGGGGGGGGGGGAGGGGCTCATGCCATATTTTCAATTGGGAGCGCCAATAAAATCCTAAAATCATTCACACTATATTAACTAGTGCACCCTTGTCACGACTGTTTCTTTAGGGGGACACCGTTCGCATGTACATCACGATCCTTCTTTTGGCTAATGGCATTTTTTTTTTTTACGGAATTTATTTTGGGGGGCTACACAAAATTTTTGGGGGGCCTACAGCCCCCCCTAGCCCCCCCCGTAGAACCGCGCCTGACCAAAATAAAGAAATTAGGATGGGTGAAGGACACCAAGGGACTATTCTATAAGGCCAAAAAATATAGTGTTTTGGTAACAAAACCGACCATAATTATCGGATTTATTTTCATTTATTCATTTATCTTAAATACGGTCATCAAGTTAGTCCAGAATACTTGCACGTTTGCAAAAAAGTACCTCCTTATAGTACAAATATGTCTACTTGGCTAGTTGTCCTCCGATATATGTACATGCATGATGACACCATATTGTCATCTGATTGAATGCTGCCAACATAATTATGTTAATAAAAGTACCATACCTGCCGACCCGCCCCTTTTTGGCAATGTTAGTGACCGGAAACACATCGTTTATTTGATTTTGCCGAAGAGCCTGTTAGCTATAGACCTTTATCATGATGCCACCATCTCAGTCATGTTCCCTGTATCCAATAAAAGTAGTGAATTATAATGCTTTTTGTGCAAAAAAGAACCAGACTTTCTTTTTAGCCTAGCTTTAGTTACATTAATTTGAATGGGATAAAATCAAGACGGCCGCTACATGATAACGGTCTATAGGCCTACACTTACTCCGACATGCCGTCGATATCAGGAACTTGAGGTGACTTTGATTTCCGTTTCTCTGAAGAAACTGAAGAAAACACAGCACTTTTACCACTAGTCCGCGGACGGTCGCTTGCTGCAATGATCAATCTTTGGACGTATTTAAATTATCCATTGAACTAAACTAGATATTTACGAGAAATTAAATATTCATAATGACGTATTGCACTGTCTTTGGCCGGCTCATGCGTTGTCGTCGATGCTATGCGTATAATGTACCGCTGTCTGCCGGACACCAATATGACCGGCTGCCTGCAACTTAGTTCTGCACGACGTTTTCATCCAAAATGTGCTCTGCTAAAAACACATCTTTGCTATGGATTCATCTTTGGGGAAATCACAAGGTCAGGTGAAAATTAATGTGTTTAGCAGCAGGTAAGTGTATGAAAAACTTTCCAAGTTTTTTTTGTGACACCAAAATGGCTCGGGAAAGTGAGATGATTGTTTTGAATTGGTTTATCAAAATGGTTATGAGTGTATCAGTGAATTAGAGGGAACATTCTGACAGAAAAGCGCTGCACAATAATTCAAGTTGAGACTACAGTTTTCACAATGTTATAAGAATTTCAAGCTCACTACATTCAGATAACTTCAAACGCTTACTGAATCATGCTCGAATTTATATAACCACCCTTTTCTCTCCCAATAATAGTGCGAACGTCTTAATCGCTCAACTACACGAACCCGAACAATTTCAAAGCGATATGAACGATGATTATCAACGATTTTCCAGTAGAACTGGAAAAACGCAATTAAAAAGCTGGTTCCAAGCCCAAAATTCAAGAGAAAAAAAATACTGGGATATATGTTTTTAAGCAGTGGCGTACTGTGCCCCCGGTGGATTTTTCTGACAATTTGTTTTTTCAGCAATTATTTTCATAAATGGTTAGAGAGTTCTAACATCAATTCCAAATCTTAAAAAAGGAAAACCCGCTCAAAAACCATTACAATGCGCCGTGAAAATGGGCATATATTTGCAGTATGCATAATAATGGGCAGTTTTGAAGAGCGCCCCCATTTGGAAGAGTATAAAAATAGAGTATCTATTACGTGGCTGAAAAGTTGAACAATGTTGAAGTGATTAAAAACATTTTTTTTCCAAAAAAATTGGATACTCAGAAACATAGGATACACAAATGCAATACGATAAGTTATTGGTTTTGAGACGTTAGGCCTATAATATAAAAACACTAATTTTTATCAATTAGTTTTTCGACAGGAAGGCAGTAGCTATCTAAGTTGATGGAAGGCATGCAACACGTATCGTCACGGAGATGAGATATCCTGGTTGAGGTGAGTTGTGACCTTGAGATTTTATAGGTGTTTTATTTTTCTTAATTTGATAGGGAACTATCAAAGAAAATGAAGGCTAAGAGAATATTTTTTTTCAAGAGGGACACAGTAAGAAAACAATCATAATGGCAAGGAGGATATTCCCAAAGATGTAATGTAGGATGTCTTTTAGAAGGGTTAAATGACTGTACTAATCATCATAGCTTGGAGGATATTTTCAGGTAAATTATGGAAAATGTCAAGTATTTTCACGAGGAAGAACCTGTAGATGGAAGGTTGAAATTTATTCATTTATCAATAAAAGTGTTATTATTTATTACTAGGATGGCAAGAGATGTCACTTCAATGTTGGAGAGCAGAGACCGATGCCACTAGACGGACGTCTTTCTGGTGTTTCTATGCGAAGGTTTACAATTTTTTTACTAAACTGATATGGTTAGGAGACTTAAATTGTAAGGGAAACGATGATGACACTCATGTGATTATTATACGAACAGAGATACTGTATGGTATATGGAAATATAAAACGAGTCTTGGTGTACATAACTTCTAGGGTAATAAAGTAGTGGGTTATAGGGTAAGTCACGACGACAATGTAAGCATGGAACCAGATGGAGATTTGTCACGGTTGTAGAAATTCTCATTAAATACCATGGCCAATGCAGTACCGGTGTCACATGAAAATCCGACTCCTATGAAAACCGGACCGCTATTTCCCAATGATTGATTGATCCCTCGCACGTGACAGGTCACTCTCCCGAAACGATCCTAAAAATAGCATAGTATCGTACTCACGAGTGCGCAGTACTACCAATGAGTCCACATTTCATGGAGTCGGATATTCACGTTACACCTGCCCATCAACGCAGACAATCGGGGACGGGTTCACGGTCAAGTATACAATGCCTCCATTTTGGCAGTGCAATAGACCAGAAACACATCATATACAATTATTTGTTTTGGTGATTGTGTAGTGAAGGACACATTTTCTTTAAATGTTTTTATCAGTAATAAGCCTAGTTTTCATAATTTTCAACAGTGGTTGCGCATCATATCGCAGTCCAGATGAATAGGCTGAAGCCATTTTACTTCGCAATCACATTGCGGTGATTGTGCGTTTATCGTCGGTGTTTTAA